CTCATTATTCCAACTGAGTGAAGTAGGTGTTAACCTAGGATGCCCAGTAACCTAGGAATAGAAAGGGCCCCTTTTTGGTATTGGTAACCTTATAAGAAGCCTAGGATTACAAAAAGGGAATTAGGGTACTACATGGCATCCTAGTAACCCGTTCCCCTGGCCAGGAGCGATCTGAAGTCTAAGAAACCTCCGAAATCATCGAACAAAACAAGCTGAAGAAGCGATTTTCAAGGGTTCAGAGTTTGGCCGTTTTTCTTGGGGGTTTAGCGGCTTAGGGTTTACGGTTCAGGGTTTAGGGCTTGAGATTAATTCGTTTAGTTGGGGGGATCCAGAACTCAGGGTTGGCGGGCTTTCGGCTTTTGAGGCTTCAGGCAGATCACCCATCTGCCAAGTAGCCCTTACACCCTATCTATAGTCTCCATTGTAGTTCCTTTTTTGGCTATCCAGTTTTATGGTTAGGACCCTAAAATAGAGATTTCGGTTAACCAAAAAAAAGGAACTACAATGGAGACTTTAGGTAACGCCCCAAACTGGTGCTGGGCTGAGATTCAAGTTACGAGCTCCAGGCAGGGAGCCTTGGGGATCTGAGGGCTCAAGGGCTTAGGGTTTAGGGTTTTGGGGTTTAGGGTTTAGGGTTTTAGGGTTTTAGGGTTTAGGGTTTTAGGGTTTAGGGTTTAGGGTTTTAGGGTTTAGGGTTTAGGGTTTAGGGTTCAGAGTCTAGGGCTTCGAAAGCGGCTTAGAGGTTTGACGTCTGGAAGATCCGGGCTTGGGGGGGTTGTATTCGGTTTCCCTGGCGTCTACAGTTGAGGTCTTCTGGTCTGAAGGTCGGACCGGTTGAACTACTGTAACTTACTACCCCAATAAGCCAAAGAACTGGAAGGTTAAACTTTCCGATGCCTACTATACTATAGGAACCCAAAAAGCTTAAAGGTTAGGTATTGGAACTCTAAGGGAAGCTCCACACCTCATACAAAGCCCAACGTCATACACTAAATCCGGTGAAATCCAGCTTGGATTGGCATCCCTCGTCAAACCCGAAAGCCACAAAACCCAACACCCTAAACAACCTAAGCCCGAATCCCCCAAACACAAAAATCCTTAAACCCTGAACACAAAACCTCAACACCCAAACCCTAAACACCAGACCCTAAATTTAAACCCCAAACCCTAAACCCTAAACATCCAAAACCCTAAGCAGCCTAAGCTCTTAACACCCTAAGCCCAAAACCCTAAACACCAGAAGCCTTAAATCCTGAACCCTAAACACCCACACCCTAATCACCCTAAGCCCTAAAATCCCTAATCATCCAAACTCCAAACCCTAAACACCCCGGAACCCTAAACACCCAAACCCCTAAACTCCCAAACCCCTAGACTCTCAAACCCTAAACTCCCAAACCCCTAAACTCCCTAAGCCCTAAAATCCATAATACCCCAAACCCCCATACCCTAATCACCCCAAACCCTACCTATAGTCTCCATTGTAGTTCCTTTTTTCGGTTAACCAAAATCTCTATTATAGGGTCCTAACCATAAAACTGGATAACCAAAAAAAGGAACTACAATGGAGACTATAGGTAAACTCCCAAACCCCTCAACTCCCGAGGTTCGGCCTTTCCGATGCCACGCGTTGCTCCCGAGATGATCGCCACCTGGAGGGACTCAGAGGCTCAAGGCCCTTGGTTCTGTCTAGGGTTTGGGGTGTTTAGGGTTTGGGCGTTTAGGGTTCGGGGGAGTTTAGGGTTTGGGGTTTAGGTGATATGGCATTTTGGGGCTTAGGGTGATTAGGGTTTGGGTGTTTAGGGTTTAAGGGTTTAGGTGATTGGGGATTCTTGAGTTCTTGGTACATTAATATCGGTGCCTTAATAATTAGACTAGGGTTCCTAAAATAAAGGGATCCTTAAAGCCTTATAGGGCTCTATAAGGGATCTCTAGTAGGTTCTATAATGTAGGGGCCTTAGTAATTAGAATAGGGTTTTGGAAGCCCATTATACTATATGGTATAGGCAATTCTGAAGGCCCTTATATTATGTACCCTTCTTCTTTTCATGAAGGAGTCTTCCTTAACTTATGTTAAGCTAAGTAGTGTAAGTTTATGCAAAATGCCTCGAACAGGGAGTTTTCCTCAATTCTCAAGGGCCTCTTAGTATGATGTAGGAAATATTCCGGGGCGAAGGGGCATTTGAGGCAATCATGAGAAGTGAGGTGTAAACAAATACAGCAATCGCCAACAGAACCACAGTGCGAAACACTAAACCCTGAAAGCCAGATCCCCGTAACGCCAAGGAACCCCAAAATCCCTGAACCCCATGGCCTTCAACGCATAAAGCAAACCCTAAACCCTAAACCCTGAAGCCCAAACCGTAAACCCCAAACCCTAAACCCTAAACCCGAAACCCCAAACCCTAGAACCCTAAACCCTAGAACCCTAAAACCCGAAACCCTAAAACCCTAAACCCTAAAACCTAGAACCCTAAAACCCCAAACCCTACAACCCTAGAACCCTAAAACCCCAAACCCGAAACCCCAAACCCGAAACCCTAAACCCTAAAACCCTAAACCCTAAAACCCTAAACCCCAAAACCTAAAAACCCCAAACCCTAAACCCTAAACCCTAAAACCCTAAACCCTAAAACCCTAAACCCTAAAACCCTAAACCCTAAAACCCCAAACCCGAAACCCTAAAACCCGAAACCCCAAACCCGAAACCCTAGAACCCTAAAACCCCAAACCCTAAACCCTAAAACCCTAAACCCTAGAACCCTAAAACCCGAACCCTAAACCCCAAACCCGAAACCCCAAACCTTGAGCCAGGCCTTTCCCTTCAGGTCGGCAATCTGGAGCTTGGGGCCTCGGGACTCGAAGGCTCCGGGCTCAAAGGCGCAGAGCCCCCCGGCGGGCCCGAAGCTGTGAACCCTAAGGCCGGGAGAGTCGGAAACCTACACCCTAACCCTAATCCCTGCACCCTAAACCCTACACCCTAAAGCCTAAACCCCAAACTTTAAACCCCAACCTAAGAGTCGAAGTTCAGGGTTTGGACCATGGGCAGTAGGGCTTAGAATGTGGGGCTCAGGGGTTTTGGGTTCTGGGCTCCAGTGACTCCAGGGTTTGCTCAGGCTTTAGGCTGAAGCCCTGCGGCAAAGAAATTCACCTGTACTGTTCGGGTTTAGGACTGTTCGGGTTTAGGGGTTCGGTTTAGTGTGTCAGGGTTCAGGGATTTTGGCCTTTGGGAGTTAAAAGGAGTTGGGGTTTAAAATCTAAGGGTTACAGGGGTTTGGTCGTTTAGCTTCAGGGGCCATGCTAGTCGCATCTGGTATCCCGTGAGTTGTACAATGCCTTGGCATTTTGTAGGGAAGCAGGATCTCGTCTTGGATCCCCTCATAAGAGTACGTCGCTCCCACCAGAAGGATCCAAATTCGTAGAACCACCCCCAAACTCTAAGCCCTGAAGTCCTAAGCCCCTATAAGTCCGTAACCCCCCCTCCATGATCACATGATCCTGCGTCAAATGTGGGAGAGCTTGGCCTCGAACACTTATACAGGGCCCTTTGTTGTTAGAGTAGGGTCTTACTTTGGGGGGTTTAAATAAAATTCTATATACGGTCTGCAAAGAGACACTGTATCGTATCTGAACTATGACGACCTGTGTATCAAACCGTTCATGTGTTAGGTGTTGGTTCGAGGGCCTCGGCCTAAGGCAGAAAGCAAAGCAGAGAAGCCGTGATGCCAAAGATCAGTTCCTGGACTTTGAAGTAACCAGGGAGAAAAAGTATAGACTTGTATTCAAGCATGGTACTCCAAACCCAGGCTTCTCTTGAGTCGGACCGACGCTGCAATGCCTGCCATCCCTGGAGAGCTTTGAGCCCACAGCTCTACATCCTCTCTACCGGAGGCTCTACAAGGAAGCACCCTAAGCCCAAATCCCGACCCTAAACCTATTTCAAGGCGCAGCTCGATAAGAAGGCCCTAAGTACCCTGAAAGAGGATTCAGGGTTGCTCAAAACACATTTATATATTAAGAACCCTAAAAATAATACCAAAACCCTTTGTCACACCCCTAAACCCTAAACTACTACGCCCCATAAAATAGCCCTAACCCCCTAAACCCTAAAGTTCACACTTGCCCGTTCTGAAGCTCCCGGCTGAGGGCTCCAGGACTTCCCGACATAGCGCCCAAGTCAAGAAATGCACCCCGCGGGCGCGCGACGTAGAAACGGGGAAAGGCTCTAATGCAAGGCCGTGCCTAATTTACATAAGGTTCCTTGTAATGCTACTTAGTTACTTGCCGTATGTGTGTAGGGATTCCTTGTTCATGTAACTAACTCTATCCTGCGACTTCCTAAACCTCTTCAGCAACACATCGTCGAAAGGTATGCATTGGCAGCAGTTGTGCTGGCCGGGTTTCATCTCATGACTTCAAAAGCGGTGCCCTTGTCTCGAGCCGTGAATGCAGCACAAGCTTGGGTTGCGAACCTTCTCCCTTCTCATGTGGGTCTAACACACAAGTTTGGGGGGAAATTGGGCTTCGGGTGTATAGGGTCTGGCTTGCGATTCAGGTGTAGGGGGTACTTGAGGGTTTAGGATTCGGATTTCAGGCTCTGGCTTCGATCCTGTTGAAGATGCTGGGCTCAGGGTCGATTACATGTGGCTCCCCTCAGAAGGACATTGGCACTGAACTACCCAAGCTTCTCCTTCCAAAAAATGCTGTGAAATGAAGTCTATCGACAAGCCTTAGAAGCTGTGAGGGCGGAAACGCTACAGTGGGGCCTCAGGCGCGCGAAATCGTCGCCACGGCGCAAGCCCGACGTGCTGTCTAGTTGGAGCCTGCCAGCTCTTTCAGCCTTCAACCTTCCGCCGTAAACTTCAACCCCGGATCCCTGCAAAGCCTTACATAAATCTTACACAAAGCCTAAACCCTAAACCCTGAACTCCCTAAACTTTATAGCCCTTAATAACCCTACTCCGTCAACCCTCACAACAGCTCGAACTTTTCCACTCAGTTCAGCCGTCCGTACTCTGCGCACGCCGAACGCCAGCGCTGCCATCGGGCCGGGGTGGGGGCTGGCCTGGTTTGGGGTTTCAAGGAGTTCGGGGGAGACGCTTTTCTTTTGGGCCAGCTGCTTTCAGAAGAAGGAACCGATGGACGCCCTGGGCCACTCACTTCTGTAAAAACATTCCGATACAATACTTTAAAGAGGGCACCTATCATTGAACCATCAACCTGGAGACCCGAAACTCCACACCGAAGGCAACTGAACGCATTGCAAACCATTATGACTGAAATAACTATAACATAACCTCGAACATGACTGAAGCAAGCGAAGCAAACAAAGCAACCTACCACCAATCATGACCTGACATAACATCACAGAGTACAGACCATTTATGCGAAACTTGGAAGAGTGGCCGTCCGCCAGCAGAACCAAACGCAAGGCAGTCGGCTCGACGAACTGTCGGCCTCAGGCGAGTGCCCTTGGGCTTTAAAAGGAGCCGGTGTTGGGCTTCGAGCACTGTAGCACAAAGGCTTTCTAGGGCTTCTCCGTGTTGTATTGCGTGGTCATCTAGCGGATTGTCTGGGCTCGCAGGGAGCAGGCACAGAATGTTCAACTTGCAGAACCCAGTCTGCAAAGCAACGATTCTGTTGACGGTGACTCAATGCCACCCGGGCCTGAGTAGCACATATCTGGACCCTCCAGACTCTGGCCCCAAATACTGCAAACCTTGAGAACACCCTGAATCTGGCGCCCTGTGCCTTGCCTTCGGATCCTTCAGGAGCATCGTCCACCTTCATCGCCACCTTTCGCTCCTGTGCGATGCAGCGAAATGGCCGGAGAGCACCCGTGGCTGCATGGTTCACCTGCCAAAGGCTGTGTGGCTGGTTGCTGCTCGTGCGCCCCTACTACTACTGGTGCTACTACTACTACTACTACTACTGCTACTACTACTACTACTACTACTACTACTGCTACTGCTACTACTACTACTACTACTACTACTACTACTACTACTACTACTACTACTACTACTACTACTACTAGTTACACTACTATCACTACTACCAGCACTACCAGTACTCCTCCTCCTCCTCGTCCTGCTGCTGCTGCTGCTGCTACTGCTCCTGCTCCTGCTCCTGCTCCTGCTCCTGCTCCTGCCCCTGCTCCTGCTCCTGCTGTTGCTGCTCCTGCTGCTCCTGCTCCTGCTCCTGCTCCTGCTCGTGCTCCTGCTCCTGCTACGGCTGCTGACTACTGCAGCTCCTCCTCCTCCTCCTGCTGCCGCTCCTGCTGCTCTTGCTCTTGCTGCTCCTGCTGCTGCTGCTGCCGCTGCTGCTTCTGTCATTACTGCTGTTCCTTGTTGCTACTGCTGCTACAGCTACGACTGCCGGACTGCCACTACTACAACCACAAACCTTTGCTACAAGTATAGGATGCTCATTGTACGACTTCGGATCACTTTAGGCTCCTAGAACCTGACACTAACATGTTGGCAATCGTGACTCTTTGCTCTCCCTTGAGTTTCAGCCAGAGCTCGTCACAGTAACGACAACTTAGCATCACACTCACATGCAACTAGCGCTGCTGCCCCATTGTGCGACTGTACACACACAGACGCACAAGCCAACGCAACACACATGGACGAAACATTGCGGTTATATACAGGGCATGGCCTGCCAGTCAGATGCCACTGCCACAGCTTGGGCCAGGTTGTAGACACGCGTGTGGATGTTCTTTGCCTTCCCAAGTAGAAGACCTTTGTCCAAGAATTGAGCCTGTTTCACGAGAAGTGTGTGTGTGTGTGTGTGTGTGTGTTCTCTTGAACATAGCCTGAGGATAGCTTACCGTGTGAGCTTGCAGTAATACTGACAGACTCTCGTGTGCAATGTTTTGGTTCATGAGAGGGTATGACACGAAAATCTGTGCCACCATCAAGCAGGCAATCGCCAAGAGTAGTCGAAACCCTACCAACCAGGAACAGCAGCAGCAACCATAGCAGCAAGCACCACGATATCCATAATAACAATACCCAACAAACAACGACGAACCTACTACGAACTAAATAAAACTTGGGTCCTACCGTCTTCAATGTTGAACCCTAAACCCGAACCCTCAATCCGGGCCGCCGGCTCTCCACTGCGAGGACCTCTCCGGCTGGCATCCATCGAAGCTCCGTCGCAACCTCCAGCAACTGCTCGTATTCTTAGGGTTTTAGGGTTTAGGGTTTAGGGTTTGGTAGAACCGAAACGGGAGGGTACATGTGTGCCTATGTAGCGGATACTTTGGCCTGAAAAGGGGTTCCCATATATGGACAGCAAGGCCTTGATCCTTGATCCCCTCAGTGGCGTTTCTGGGCCCTACATCCCGATAATTAGCCTTTTTGTGCATCTGCGTGTATAAGTGAAGGTATGTACATGTCATGCAGCTGCATTTGCCAACACACATGTCTTCATGAGCATGCTCATCTACAGGACCGCGTCTCTGTCAATCCATCCATCCACTGCTTGTCCTAGCAGAGCGCTGATCCATCATTCCGAATCATCATAGGAGGTTGTCTGAACCAGGGCAGTACTTAGCAAAGTCGCACCCAGGCTCGGGGGCGATTTGGTACAAAACAAGGGATGCCAGTGCCATAAAAACCCAGGGGCCCAGCATCTCTTGATTGCAAAGCCCGAACCCACATTCCAGCGACCATGTTCAGACGAGTGGCAGCTTTGGCGAGCGGAATGAAGTCCGAGTTACTGCGCTGGCTGACTTGCAAGACTTTCACCGGATCCGGCAATGATCCTGCTATGGTACCGGGGCTAAGGTTGATGGGGTTTACGGTTGAGAGATCTTGCTTGTGTTTCCGTCATGCGAAGATTCAGAGGTGCCATCTTGACCTCCTGAGTGTAGATTGCGTTCCTATTGGCTGCATCCTTCTTAGTAGCCACAGCCTGCATTCGCATCGTTGCGGCATTGAGAATTGTGACATGACTGCCCTCCCTCAGCCTCAGCAAGCCTCTGCAAAGCGAAACGCGGGGCCGAAAACGACGCATCCAACTGCTCTTCAATTAATTACTCCGGTACTTTGAAGACCAAAATCCCAACCACCGACACGCCGGCCAGTCGGATCACTTTTTTTCGAGTACCTTTGCGCCAAACCGAAGAGTAAGGTTTGGCGTCCTTCGGCGCAAACCCGCCAACCCCAAAGCCCTAAAACCCCCCCCCAATCTCGAATCTCCAACCCTAGACTTCTACTGTGCAGATATCCTTGCATTAACACTGCCTAATCTGGATCTAAACCGCTGAACCCTGAACATTCTGCCTGCTTTCTCCTTGCGTGCTTCGCTGCTCTTATGGAGCTGTAGCCGAAAGCCGACTCTCGCTGAGGACTGCTTTGGCTCCTCACCTCTTACGGTTGACGGCTTTACAGGTGTTATAGGGCTTGATGTGGTCGTTCATGAGCTTTCAGAGGACCTTCTGTGATTTTCGGTCTAGGGCCTCACTAAAAGGCTGCCATAGGCTGTGGAATAAGGCGGGCCGAGGATTCGGGTTTGGGGTCTAGGGTTTCGAAACCAGGTCTTAGGGCGCTGTCGTCTTGTTTGGAGTTCGGGGCTCCGTTCCATACAGGAGTTTACAGTTCAATTGTTTCTAGGAGCCCCGAACCCTGGTTTATTTATTTATGTATATGTAGTAAAGATATAGATATCGCCTCCATAAAGAAGCCTTTAAATACCTGACTTTGGGGTGTTTAGGGCTGTTGGGTTTAGCTTGGCGGGCGGAAATCGGGGAAAAGATAGCTTCCTTTGCTGGACGGATGGGGCTCATGGGTCTTTACGAGTTTTAGAGAGTGTGGGTTTAGCTGTTTAGCACGAATCCGTGTGAGTCTTCATGGACAACCCTCAAACATGCTTAAAGGATCCGAGGACATGGAAACTAGGGGAGACCTCAGGTTGCAAGCACGTACCACAATGAACACCTATCGTCTCTCTCTTTATAATATATATATATATATATATGTACATACTTTATAGACTGGGAAGTTCTCTATGTAGACTCGTATTAGTATTAGTATTAGTATTAGTATTAGTATTAGTATTAGTATTAGTACTAATATGAGTATGAGTATTAGTATTCGTATATTCGTATTAGGAATTCAGGTGATCTTGGCCCTGGTGGAGGTTGGAGCTTCGGGTGTCAAGCGCCAGTGCAAGGGTCGAAAGCTTTGGGTTTTGCCCGGTTTAGGGTTTAGGGGTTTAGGGTTTAGGGTTTAGGGTTTGGGGTTGAGGGTTTAGGGTTTAGGGTTTGGGGTTTAGGGTTTAGGGGTTATAGGGTTTAGGGCCATGATCGGAAGGGTCGGCTTTGCTTACCTTTGGTTAGTAGGGAATGGAAGCATGGTAGAAATAGTAGTTATAATTGTACCCCATTCCTCCATTCCCTACTGACCAAAGGTAAGTTTGGCTTTAGGTCCACTGATTATGGTGAGGCGGTTCGGGGTTAACGGTCAGTGGGCTTGTATGCTGACTGCTGAGGGAATGCAGGCTGTTTAACGGCTGTTTGGTACTGCGACATGCAAGCCAAGCACTGAAGAATCCATGCCTAAAGCGCAGGTCCTACATCCTGCGGCTAAAACAAAGCTAGGATGCCCTGTCAGAATCTGCACAGGAACTGCAAACCCGCTGCCCCGCCATCTGAAGGACTTTCTCGCAACCGGTTTCGAATTTTGGATTTTGCAGGCCGCTTCAACTGTGCAAGAGCATGCTCCTCCCAAATTCTAAGTCACACACCGGAAACCAAAGCCACAAAACATTGAGCGGTGATTCGCAGAAACACGCTAAACGCCAAACGCAAAGCAGCACAGGACTCGGACTCTGGCGCCCAAACCCTAGCAGACTTTAGCATGGTAGCCTTTCTATTGTCTATGGCCAAGAGTATGCTTGTCCATGAATTATGTCCCTGTGAAGTGACAAACCCTACAAAAACCTCTGTTGCCAAAGCAGGCCTGCAGGTTGCAATCCTGCCCCCTCCAGCTCTTCGCCAGTGGCCTTGCGAAGGACGACCAAGCAAGGAACACAAAATTTAGGGCTCAGGCCTTCCGGCTTGTGGTTCTGCGCAATGTGGTTTCACCCAACAGAGCGAGAGAGAGAGAGAGAGAGAGAGAGAGATAGAGAGAGGGAGAGAGAGAGAGAGAGAAAGAAAGCAAACAAGAACGAAGTCAGTGAACCAAAGCATCCTTGCGGAGCCGTGGCATGCATTAATGCGTCAATTTCGATTGTATGAGCGCGTTACACACCCCACATAGGTCGACAGGGCGAGGCTTTGATTGCACGGCTACTAAAGGCGGATTTTCTGACCACAAAACTCACTAAACCCTGCACTCTAATCAATGATCCATGGAGAGTCCCAGCGAGCCCTTACCACATCACCCAAAAGAGCCACAGTCACGAGACTAACCCTGAGCCTAGCCCAAACCTTAATCCACAAATGAAGAAATAGGTGAACCCGCAAACGTTCAATGCACTTCTTTGCAGCAGAACAATGCCCCCCCCCGCAAACAACCTTTTCAATGCAGGCCCTCGTCAATGATTTAGGCCACAGCTCTTGCAAACCGCAACCCCTGAGTTCCGAAAGCCCTACACCTGAAAACCCCCAGCAGGTCCTGATGAACTCTCCACACAATCAACGCATCTAGTAACTTTTATAGAACCTCTTAAGGCAAAAGCCAGAAAGTTGGAATATGATTATCCTAACCCTTCTATGCTAAATTATAGGGTATCCTACCATGAAACCATATTCCAACTTTCTGGAGTTCCCTGTAGAGGAACCCTTCAAGGGAACCCTTACAGTATCCCCCACCGAAGTAACCCAAACCTTCCAAAACCCCTTAATTCAGGACTATACCTTAAATCATATTAGGGATCCGACTATGACTTAAGGTCTATTCCTTGATTACGGGATTTTGGAAGGTCTGGGAACCCTAAGGGGAACTCCAGAAAGTTGGAATATGGTTTCAGGGTAGGATCCCTTATAGTTTACCTTAAAGGGGTTACGCTAATGATACCATAGAAGGGTTAGGATAATCATATTCCAACTTTCTGGCTTAACCCTAAACCCTAAACCCCTAACCCCTAAACCCTAAACCCCTAACCCCTAAACCCTAAACCCTAAACCCTAAATAAAGACAAGAGCAGAGCTGCTGAGGAGATCAGGAACTCCACCGGATCCGGATGGCGAGCCAGGGCCTGGGGCTTTGGGTTTAGGGGTTTAGGGGTTTAGGGGTTTAGGGGTTTAGGGGTTTAGGGGTTTAGGGTTTAGGGGTTTAGAGTTTAGGGGTTTAGGGGTTTAGGGGTTAGGGTTTAGGGGTTTAGGGGTCTAGGGTTTAGGGGTTTAGGGTTTAGAGTTCGTGGCTTGGGGCTTTACAGTTTTGAAATTTCGGGGGTTGAGGTGCAGTGCATGTCTGGTTTAGTTTATGCACATACAAATACAGTTAGCCCTACTCTTCATTGCCTGAAGCAAGCTGAAGTTCAAGTGCCCGAGCTAATTTATGCTACAATCCTTCAGTATTGCAATACGCCTACACGCCCCTATGCACATATACATATACATATACATATGCATAACCATGCACATCTCTATATGCATATGCAGGTGCATCTACATCTTCATCTATACCTACATCCACATACATGTACATGTGTACATGCATATGTGTATATATATATATATGTATATATGTATACATATATATATATATATATGTATACATATATATATATATATATATATATGTGTGCTGGGTATGTGTTAATATTACGCAGACACACAATGTGTAAACCATGTATAGACATGCATGTGCATACTACTTCGGGTGAACTAGCGATCTGTGTTTCTCGAAATGGGAGTTTCGGAAAATAGGGGACCCCTAATATGGCACCCTAAATAGCAGGATCCTCACTAAAAAAGACCCGAAAAAACAAAGCACCCCTAAATTTCGGAAACTCCCACCCTAAACCTAAATCCCTTTATGGAACCCTCATAGATCCCTTAAAGGAACCCTTAAAGGATCCCTTTAAAGCTACCCCCTAATTGTCACCGCTCCTGCCTGCAGGGCCAGGGCTGTTCCCTGGCGCCCTGCCGCCATGATCTCCACCTTACTACCCCAATAAGCCAAATAACTGAAAGGTTAAACTGTCCGATTCCTACTATAAGAACCCACAAAGTTTAAAGGTTAGGTATTGGAGATCTGAAAGGTTAAACTTTCCGACTCCTACCATACAAGAAGAACCCAAAAAGTTGAAAGGTTAGGTATTGGAGATCTAAGACACCGAGGAGTAGGCCAGGAGCTTCTGGGTCAGCTCTTTGCCGACCTCGCAGGGCTCTACTGCTTTGAAGGGGCTTACAAAGTGTTGTGTATAGATATAGATACAGATATAGATAGATATATCTATTTATATATATATATACCCACAGAGATTTACATATTATCTATCTATCCGTCTGTTTGCCCGTCCGTCTATCTATATGTATCGTTTAAGAAATTGTCATAGGTTCCGAAGGAGGGGCTTGAAGCGATTCTGTAGGGATACAACATCTCTCGTCATTGTTGTGTCACCCACAGGCTTATCACATGAAGGAAAGGAGGCTAAGTCCGCTAGGCCATATGGTTAGACTCTTTGAGCCCAACACCCGTTAAGGACTCAGGTCTAACTTGTCTTGACGAGGGCTATTGATTCTCAACTGTCAAAGTGTTCTAAACCCCCTCGACCGAAACGTACTATAGGGGCCTTAATAATTAGAATAGGGTTTTGGGTCCCGTTATAATATATCTACATTAAGGAACCCCCCCCCCAAAATACTATAGGTAATTATTTAGGCCCATATAGTATCTTCGATCCCCACAGCTCAGAAGACCCGCAGCACTACAGACGCAATTTCACGGTTGAGGGTTTACCCAAAGGCCCCAAAGTCGCTCCTTTTGGGGGTTCATCTATAGAATCCTTTTTGGGGTAAGGAACTACTTTGGGGCCTCTGGGTAGGGCTTAGTGTAGCCGGACCTCGTCAAGGATCCGCCCACCCTTCACCAACACGAGGCCCGGTCTGACGTCAGTGCTGTGAAGCCGTCGTGCCATCTTCAAAAGAGGCCACATGGCTCAGAATAGGGTTTAGGGTTTAGGGTTTAGGGTTTAGGGTGAGTCTCGAGACACTACGCGCCACGGCTGACACCCACAGACCTTCAACCCCAAGCAGGTAGATGCGAAGCTGTATACCCAGCCAGAACTATGAATAGGCAGGTTCCATCACAGATGACCCTTCTTAAGCAGGAGCCTCTATACTTCGAAAGCTCTAAAACCTGAGCCCTTAAGTTCAATCCACAAACCAACCTTGGACCACCGCAAAACTGAGACCCAGAATTAAACTTTCAAGACCTTTTTTAAGTATAGCAGACCCTGCGTATGATTCACGATTGATGGTTCACCGCTTTTTAGAGTTTATTGGGTTTGGGGATTTGGGTTCGGCTCAGTATGCATCCAATCCTTGGGCGTTTCATGGGAGTTTGATGGGGCCTTAAAGGATTCCGTACAGACTTGATCTAAACCCGATCGGAACGGAAGCAAATAGTATAGGAACAAGATACTGTACTAAGTATAAAAATAGAGTATATACTAGAGTATATAATAAGATAATGTACCAATACAAGTTTCAAGAGGGAAGTTTCAAGCTTCAGCCGGCTGCGGAAAGGGTTTTCTGCCGGCTACGGAGTCCCGGGGCTCGAGATGCCCAGGGCCTGTGTGTACGAAAGGAAATCAGCTCTCCGTGCAGTCATTTCCTCACCTTTGGTTAGTAGGGCATGGAAGACTGGTAGTAATAGTAGTTATATGGTAGTATTATGATAGTAATATGGTAGTAGAATGGTAGCAATAGTAGTTTTACTTGTACCCCATTCCTCCATTCCCTACTAACCAAAGGTAAGTTATAGGATTATTAAGCCCCCTATATTATAGTACCCTTATACATCCCTTACAGTAACCCTTGTAGACCCCATTCCTCCATTCCCTACTAACCCAAGGAAGTTTCGGCAGTGCAAGTACCGAAGTGTCAAAACTGCTGTAGCCGCTGGGGCCTCGCGCCAAACCCTCGAATCATAAACGTTCTATACTGAACTTGGAACCCTAGCCAAAATTATGATTTGGGCTGTTTCTTAAGGATTATAATAACAAAAAAGCAAAAAGTATTTCTAAGTACCCCTAAGGTGGTTCAATGCACCGGTTTAAAGCATGGGGGTTGAGTTGAGGGTGTCTCTCCAAGCCCACTAGGATGAACCCCGAGCCCTCCTTCGGTCCTTGGCTGGGTTCGTTGGGGGGACCCCCTTTTCACGCATCCGCTCTTCTTCACATTTCTTGTCACCGCCATTAAACTACCCAGACCGCTGAGAAAATCTAGAAAGTAGATCCCCTAATTTGGGGCCCTATACTACTAAGAGTACTGTATAGGAACCCCCGTTAAGGGATCTGCTTTTTGGATCTTCCCGGGGGTCTGGGTAGTTGCCAGATTCGGCAGATGGCCTCGTGTACTTGATGTCGACCGGATGCAGCCTGGATCAGTTGCGAGAACCAAAACCCTCAAAAAGTCTCCACTAGTCCTAGTTCAGGGTTGGGATAGGATTAAAAAAATAAACTATTATTCCTTATTGGGTTTAAGTACCCCAGACAATTTAAAATGTTACCCAACTATGACAAAGAGTCAAGCCCGCATGCCAAACGGATGAAACAACAAACACAAACAGGCGACAGTCGTCGAAAGCCAGCAGAGACATCTCTGAGGCTCCGGAGAACGCCTCCAGGCTATGGAAAGTCCTGCACAAGCCTGTTCCCCGCCTTTGCCTCAGAGGTTCTTCCTTTGGCTTGAATCGGGTTCGCGGCTCAGTATCTTGAGGCTTTGGGCTTAAGGAACTAAGGGCTTTAGGAATTGAAATGGGCAGGGCATCATCAAAAGGCTCCCAGCGCAGGATTTCGTTGACAAATCACATCCCAGAGTACGACGGAAATTTATTTGGGATCAGAAATACGATGAGGGTACTCACAACAAATGCCAATACGAAGTGAAACACATAGCAAGCAAATGTGTCATCTACGATGCCCAGCCCATGTCATATTACAAGTGTAGATACCTCTATCTATCTATCTTTCTTTCTATCTATCTATTTATCTATATATATATATATATATATATATATATGCAAAATAGCAAGACTAGTAATATATATATATATATATATACACAACACATATCAGATTCATAACTGCTCGTTGGAACCACCCTTCACAAGACCGACACGGCAGCTGCCGACAGGTGAAAGGCTGAAACAGATGCTCAACCCAATCTCGCCTTGCCGTCAGCTGCCCCAGTGCTCGTAAGGCGCAGGATGACCAGTTGCCCACGCCGCTAAACACTGCTTGATGCCAACCTTTTGTAGTGTATGCAAGCTTTGTTGCAGTGCTCCTAGTGTTCGGAAAAACACGGCTTGTGATGTAAGGCTTTGTAGGCTTGGGGATCTTTAGCGTCTGGAGTCTACTCCATCTATGTAATAGGTGCGACTCTTGGGGCAGGACCCTTTGCACAATGTGACTCCATCGGCATGACCGTGCTCACGGTACCCGCATTAATACACGAATCATTAATTTGTTGCACTCGAAGATCAAGATACCCTTCCTATGCTCGTGCGAAATAATTCACTCCGTCATGGCCAGGCTATGACGTTCGATTTTTAGATGCAACAGGTGCAGTAGGGCGACGCAGTACCAAATCATCTTTCAATACCTATGATCGTATACGCTGTATGTACGTCGACGGGAACATTCAGTCAAGCCACACATGCCGGGCAAAACCCAATGCCATTGTTCCTCCACCCAGACCCAGCGCTGCCATCTTCTGCACCAAGCCTCCTTCGTTTCGGCTCTGTTGCCTTGCTCTCCGTAGGAGTTGGCGATGTAGTTCCTCTTCTTCTCTTGGGAAAGGAGGGGCTTTGGGCCCATCAAAACAGTATTGGTAACAATTTAGGCCCATCTATTTCCTCCTCTTCTTCTCATGGGAGAAGAGGGGCGTAGATGTCATCCAGGCTTAGCCGCAGCTGGCCATCTGGTCGACGTGTGCCTGGATTGGAGCCAGGCTACAGCTTCGAGGCCCAACCTAATATAGGGGCCTTCGTAAATAATTAGAATAGGGTTCCTGTAAAAGGGTCCTGTAAGCTGTCAGGGATCTATAGTATAGGGGCCTTACTGATTAGAGGAGGGTTTTGGGGCCCATTATACTATAGTTATAATAAGGAACTCCCAAAATAGTATTGGTGATTATGTTAGACCCTTATAGTAGTGTGCTGTTATCCAGTCCCAGAGCAAACTTCCAATTCACACCGAGCTGCGCTGTTAAGCCAGGGTAGACTTTGTGGCCAAGGCTCTTGCGAAAGCCCAGGAATAAGTCAACAGGTCGATCCTCGTATCGGACATCCATGTTTTGAGCCTTGGAGCTTTCAGAGAAGAGAACCCTAAACCCTAAACCCTAAAACCCCAAGCCAAAGGCTCTGATTATGGGAGGGCTGGGAGTCGGGATCTTTATTCTTTTGCGTTCTTTGCCTTCGGAGTCTAAGGTTTCAAGGATTTATGGGAGTTTAGGGCTGAGAGCAAAGCCTAGACGATCTCATGCGGCCAGGTGTCCATGGAGAGAGACCAGCCGCCTTTCCATGCTGTCCACAAGACCAGCTGGTTCTGCCTTGTCTGCATTTCGCGGGTCTGGCATTGCGGTTGATGTTTGCAAAGCAAGTCTTATGGCTTTTGAGACAGCAGGCAATGATCAAAAATCATGCATGGAGTGCGCTTGCTCGCATTTGCTTTTCGGCTTCACCGCCTGCCCTAGCCCATGTTGAGTTAGCCGCCTGCGCGGGATGAAGTGCTTCTCGCTGCCCCTCGCAAAACTCCAGCCATCTTCGGCACCTGTCTCCTGAAAGGGCTCGGTGGATTTCATTTTGCGGGTTCTGAACAGGTCGGCGCCTGTCTCCCGAAAGGGCTCGGTAGGTTTATGTTGCAGGTTCTGTACAGGTTTTGTAGTTTGCAATACTTTTCTAAGAGGTTCATGATCTAATTCCTCTGGATGCACGGATCTCCTACAAGGCTTTTAAAGAACCCTAAACCCTAAACCCTAAAAGGTGCTAAAACAAAGGCTGTCAACAACGTCTCTAAATGGATTTCAGGATGTTAGGGGTCCAACGGGTACTTCTGGGGTTTAGGGTTTAGGGTCTAGGGTTCAGAAACAAAGGGTCCTATTTCGGGCCTGTAGCTTGGGGTCTCTTAGGTTTTTGAAGCTCCTACATAAAATTGTTGCAGATCTTGCGATACGGCTGAGTTCGTGCATGTAAGTGCTGCGTACACTTGTAACACATAACTATTGAATAAACGCAGGGTTGCTCATTCGCAACACTATATCGCACATGGGTATGCGCCATGTGCACAGTACTGCTGTTGCTGCTGCTCCTGTTCCTGCAGTTCCTGCTCATGCAGAGCAGCTGCACCTACTACTCCTGCTGCTATTGCTGCTTATGCTACTACCGGTCTTAACAATGATCGTTGCTTTGAATACAGTAGTTGTCAAGCTACACTACCATGCAACCTCCATTAAATTAACAGCGTCACTGCAGCGCATGTGATATGTTTCCTTCGCAGCCAAGGCAGCGGCTACCGGCCAAAACTGGTTACATGATCAGAGACATACTACAAAATCGCACAATGCTCACAGTGCTGATGGCGGTCATCCGCGTCTTCGCCGGCACCGTCATCAGCATCATCATCACCATCCTGATAGTCTAGTACCAGTATTACTACTAATACTACTATTACTACTATTACTAATACTACTATTCTTACTAGTCATGGCTTCTGTTAGCATGATCGGCATCATCAACCCCCAGGGCCACCAGAAGCAAGACATGGTCTTCGTTGTTTGCTGCTGATCAGTCCGTCCTATAGAGGTTTTTAAGTGCGAACTCCGTAATTCTGGTTCTGGTTCATGTCTAGGGTGTTAAGTTTCTGAAACCTCGAGAATACTAAACTAGAAGTTAGCTCTGGGTCAAATTCAAACAGCAGAAGTCAGCAAGAAAGAGCAGCGCTCATGGACTAAAGGGTGCTTCTGTCTGGCCTGCTGCTAAGCTTCGCTCGAGGGGTTCAAACTATCTTTACTTAGGTAAAGCAGGTTCAGGGCTGGGACAGACTGTCAACAAAGCTTTCCAAACTGAAGGATGCTAAGTCTTTCATGGCTCAGTCCTTGAAGGAAACCACTGCCAGCACATCCGGGGCACTGCCGACCCAGCTATCAGATTCAACTGGCAATGACGGGTTTCTCCATGACAAGTCATACTTCCAGGCCCACATGTCGTCCAGGACAAGTTTGGCCTGAGTTGCTTCTAAGTATCTCATCTTGAAATTATGCAAAGGCCATCTACATAAACATCTGATGCCCAACCTCGTGATGCAGATTGCAACCCAGGAGTTCCAAGGCATGCTTCATGCCAAGTGTTCGGCCATGCAGGAAAAAATCTGCATGACTCACAGAAAAGAATCTCCAGAGGGTACAGTTCCTTAGCCTGGGCTTCAGGCAAATTTTCGGTCGGGTCAGCCCAAGCCTGAACCCTAAACCCTAAACCCTGCGATCGAGCAGCACCATGGTGCTTGTGCAGCACGCTCCTGGGCGCTGCAGTCTGCATTTCTTACATTTGGTTAGTTGGGAATGGATGAACGGTAGTAATAGTAGTTATACTTGTACCCCATTCCTCCATTCCTTACTAACCAAAGGTAAGATTTGATTTAGGGCCTCTGAGGCAGAAGATCTGGAGTGCTCCTGGGAATCTCAAGATGCAATTCAAGATATTCACCTGAAAAGGTATGTTAAGGGTGCAGTCATGCCTGATTCCCCTGTAAGGGTATGTTGCGAGTGGCAGAATTCGACATTGAACTATGGTTTCTGACATCCAAAACCGGGCTGCATTGCCAGAAGGAACCACTGAAGAAGCCCTGTGGGTTTAGGGTTTTAGGGTTTAGGGTTTTAGGGTTTAGGGTTTTAGGGTTTGCTGCAAGATTGCGTAGCGGTAGTGCAACAGGGATTGTAGGATTTATTAGCGGTTTTGTTGCCTGCGAATCGCAGACATGGCCCGACTGTGGCGGGCCATCACCTAATAACTCACCCACCCCACGCCCTCTGAGGCGGCAAACCACCCAAACCTATACCTTTTAGGGTTTAGGACCTAAACTCTGTTAGGTCCATGTTGGTTAACAACAACCACACATTTCTGCAGCCAAGCTTCTGCTCCGAAAAGGCAGGGCAGAGGAGGGCAGAGTACGGCAAGAGGTGGGCCAGGGGGGGGCCCAGGAGGGGCCAGGGGGGGCCAGGGGGGGCCAGGGCGGGCCAGGGGGGCTAGGGGCCCAGTCTGGTCGAGAAGCACCATAAAAAGAATGAACGAAACGTTTTGACCGAAATTTTTTTTGCGAACCATGTTTTCAATTTTTGGGGCTGGGTTTGAGCGAAACGTTTTGAGCGACACGTTTTGAACGAAACGTTTTGACCGTCCTGGGGCTGGGGCTGGTCTTTTGCGAACCACTTTGGGGAAAGTAGCGCGACAGCGGCCTGGATTCTGGGCCTTGGGCGTGGATTTGCCTGGAAAAGGGGGCTGGGCCTGGCTTTGGGTCTGGGGCCTGTTTTGGGGCTTAGGGCATTTGGGGGCCTGGATTTGGGGAGCGCCACAGCCGGCAAACAGAGTTAAGATGCTCAGCGCCAGGCACTTCTCAAGCAGATAATGGCCGAACGACTCCTTGGCTGCTTTGCATGTGTCATCGTCTGAAATTCTTCTCAACACCAATCAGTGGCAGGATGCAAATGTGGGACGTGAGCGCATTCAGAGCAACTAGGTCTGCAATAGAAAAAAGGATATATCCTGGGGCTTCTGCAAAGAGCTGAAGCATGTCGGCGATGCCTCGCAAGTGCGTCGGAAAGCCAAACACTAGCAGGTAAACGTTGCTCGGACGCTCAGCGCCAGGCACCCGTCAGGAGGCTGGAGCCAGGGCTCCTTAGCCGGTCTATGGTCTAAGTGCTGTGATCTCTCAGGGGATGTGGAGACTTGTGAGCAGGATTTTGACATATCATATCAAAACAGACCGAGAATAACAAGGCACGCATAAGAGTCGAAGCCAAAACACACGCACGAAAACTGGACACCGTGCGCGGAGCCAGGCCCATCACAAACCCATCATCTTTTTGGCCCTCATGTTCAGCCAACGGTTGAAAAACGCATGAGAAACCTGCGCAGCTTCGGCTGAAAACCCGAAGCGGCTTCCACACATAAGATATCATTGTGACATGCAGAGTTCTTTGATTCACCAGGGGAGAGAGGACTGCCAATGAGTCTTGTTAGCTGTTCTTTCTTTTTGTTAAGGAGCCCAGTTCGACTCAAGATCAAGCGATGCAGCAGCATGTTCAACGTGACATGTAACTTGGTTGAAACGAAGAGGACGAAGCCCCATGAGCAGGACCTGGCTGGGAGCTGTGAGCGCATGCAGTTCGTGCACCACTAGGCCCTAGGCGCGGGACCGTGGCTGCATGATTCAGCAACAATGAAAGGAGGCGGTGCAGAAAGCCCCCGAAACTTGTGCCAAGCATTATCAATATGAGTCCAGCGCAGAGAGCGGAAGGACACTAGACAGCGCTGCAATAAAGACCTTGAAACATGGCAAACTCGAACAACTCGCAGCTGCAAATGAAGTCCACAAAGGAGGGGACGGCCCAGCAGTTACCTGAACAAGGGTCACCAAGAAACGACCGACCAGCTAACGTGCAACCTGCGTGCATCGCTCGGTGGCCAGCTGTTCGGCTGTGGCTCGGGGGTCACTGCTTCCTGAGAGATGCTCCAAACGGTTTAGGGTTTAGGGTGCGAGCACCACATCGGAGTGAGCACACCAGTCTCCTCATCAAAGATGGGCTGCATCATGATGGAGACAACAACTGGAGGATGCTGGAGGGCTTCTGCTGCGCTAGCTAGAAGTTCAGTCGTTTCAGTCAAACGTTAGCGGTGTATGCATCGCATGTCCGCACGGCAGTTTGCCACGAACACAATCGACGACAGCTCACGACAGCTTGCAAGAACTCGCAGAAGCCCCCAGTTTTACCGCAGCGCTGGGAGATTCCTTTCGCGTCCGGCTCGCAGGAACTGTTGTCAAGAGGTTCACGCTCCGGCAGAGGCGGACTCCGGCGACATGGTGAACAGGGCGTTGCGGAAATGTGCGTGCTTGTTCTGCTCCAATCATGTCCTCTCTCCGGTCTCCCCGTACAGATCCCAGGATGAGCTCGCAGAGTGACGCTCCATTCTCTCACAGCTTTATGTGGGGCTCGGACAGCACGCCTGAAAGCAGTCGTGCAAAGCCTTGCTTATCGATCTGTGTGCAGCAAGCCCATCATCCCAAGCATCGGACACTGACTGGCGAATCCCAGTCAACAACATGTGTGCTCGCATGCTGTGAATAGCATGCGTCTCATCCGGGGGGAATGCCCACCGGAGCTCTTCGATAAGTGGCCACACAAAAGGATGCAGCGCCGCATCATTCTCGACGAAGACAGTGACCGCCTTCCTCGCGTTGCTGCGGCAAACATCCCCGTTCCCAGGCTTGCAGGCTTCGACTAACTCCGCGATGCAGGCTTTGTTGAACCTTCCCAACAAGCGTGGTCCACATCTGGATAGTTCGCCACATATGTCCGTGCTGCTGGATTTGGGCTGGATTTTGGGCCTTTTGGGGCTTGGATCTGGGGTCTGGGCCTTGGGGCCTGGATCTGGGGTCTGGGAAGGTGGGCCTGGATTTGAAATTGTATAGGGTTCGGTCCGGTGTTTTGACCGAAAGTTTTGGACGAACGTTTTGAGCGAAAGTTGTGGGCGGGTTTTTGACCGAAAGTTTTGGACGAAAGTTTTGAGCGAAAGTTTTGGGCGGGTTTTGTTTTTGACTTGAAGTTTTCATTTTGGGTCGAGCTGGCTGGTGGGGGCTTACAGGTTTGTGGAGAAATTGGTTTATCGAGAAGCTTATTCAATTTTTAATCGGTGTTGTGGGCCGGCTGGGCTGGGCTGGGCTGGGCTGGACCGGGCTGGCTGGGCTGCGTTAGAGGTTGAGGTCGTGGTTGTGCGAAATTGGTTTATCAAGAAGCTTGTTCCGTTTTTGACCGGGTGGCTGTTTTGAGTTGGCTGGGCTGAGTTAATGGTTGAGGTTGTGGTTGTGCGAAATTGGATTATCAAGAAGCTAACGCCAGTTTTAACCGAAATGCTGGGACCTAGCGGTGGTTACAAACAAGGACAAGCAATTTCTCTTTATCACTTTCTTGAGGGTTTTAGGGTTTAGGGTTTAGGGTTGTAGGGTTTAGGGTGTAGGGTGTAGGGTTTAGGTGCTTCTCTTGGTCGCTAGGGCTCCTTGACGACTGTTTCGGCATTCGTGCAAAGCCGGAATCCCAACACAACAGCCAAGGATCTGCACTTGCTCGCAGGCGCCGAATGCCTGCTTCAGGACTTAGTTGCAGCTGGAGGCGTCGGGGTTTAAGGGCACGATTCTAAACTAGAAAGGCTTTGCACGGAGAATGGTCTTCCAACTGCTAAGCCGTTGTAGTTTAGGATTTAAGCTTATAGGGTTAGGTAAGTTAGGTTTAGGCACCTAAACCACAAACGCTGCAGATTTGAAGGAGCCGGATGCCTTGATCAATTCGATGAGGCCTTCGCCGTTCAGCGCATCCAAAAGGGAGGCTTGGAGAATCCCACCTGTGCTTTCTTTGTGTTCTGGGAGCCCACATTTTTGAGTGCATCTAAGGCTAAGGAATGTCGCGATGGATGCAGGTGGTTGGGTTGAGGATTTTCTTGACTGTTGAAAGGCTGGATGCTTGCTTGCAGTTGTACCTTTCTCACAAGTGTGACCACAACTGTGCTTCAAACAGTTCTTGCGCAAGTCGCAGTCTGGCTGCAACCAGACTTGTCGCTGTCCGAGTTGCCATCTTTTGGCGAGTGCCAAATGGTGGCTTGCGCCAGCCAGGTCTGCAGCTGATCTGCGACCTCAGGCCGCAGCACACGATCCACGACCAGGAATTCTGGATGTGCCAGGTCCTGAACCTGAGTTGTGGGTGAAACGCATTACCAACAACCAATCCAACAAGAGCTCTCTTCGCAAACGGTGTCAGGGAAATATGAGAAAATGTTGAGAGCTTTCTCCTAGCAGCCGATTCCAGCGCCCCAACACGAAAAACGTCGGCAAAGCGCAACTCTGGAACGAATGTGGCCCGATTACCGGGGTACGGAATGCCTCTTGGAGAATCCAGAACGAGAGTCTGCATCTCTTGGGCCTTTTGCCGGAGATGACGAACATTTTCCTCCAAGAATTGCAGTTGAGCCACGTCATGCGGCCTTTTCCATGATAACTGATCTTGACTGATCTCCTCCAAAGCTCCTGTCTCAGCATCCCTGACAGGCAATGCAGCTGCGCCGGGCCAGGTGGGTGGGAACAACCCAGGATTCTGCCCGTTCGCCCCACGGCGCAGCTCCCGGTGGGCGAAGCGGCACCACTGACCCAGCGCATCGAAGTTTTGCTTGAGGAGTAGATACCGGGTCGCCAACCGGTGGCATGCAAAGATCAGCTCGTCCACGGTTCGGTCTGAAAAGCGAAGCTGCCTTGCAAAAGTCCAGTCGGACGGGGCCGCAATTTGGGTGTCCAATCTTCTGGGTTACTTCTGGGATTCGGGACTTTCCGAACATTGTCCATTCTCAGCTTCATTGCATGCATCTGCACAGCTCTCCGACTTGGGAGTTTCCGAAAATAGGGGACCCTGATATAGTACCTTATATAGTAGGATCCTTATTATAAGGAGCCCCAAATAAGGTACCCGTAATTTTCGGAAACTCCCACTTCAGAACCCGAGACTCTCATCACAAGAATTCTGTGAGCCGACCTGTTGAGCCTGCAGGTCTGCCAGAAAGCAGTGACATTCCGGAAAGAGCTCCCCAAGTCTGCAAGGGCCGTGGATGTCAACGACTCGCTGTCTTCCTGGGCATATGAAAACTGCGGACTACGACTACCGCGACGGCGATGACGACTACTAATACCACTACCACCACTATCACTACAATTGCGAGTACTTCTACGACGACGACATCGAGGATGACCAAAGAGTCTACTCACCCCCTTACCCCTATAGCTGAACTCGGCAGTCCTTTAAGCCTTATGGAAAGCTACCCTGCAGTATATCACCATACCATAGTAGGTTCATACTTTTGTGTATAGCCAACAACCGTGCATTTCGATCATAGGAGACTATAGCACATTATAGTATCTTATCATCTGTTACAGTAATTATACGACAAAGATTCCGGGGTGTTGACTTCCGGAACTGACTCGGATCGGATTCGCCGGTCGCAACGCGCAGCGCCGCCCGAGGTGTGCCCGCAGCAGACCCGCGAAGCATCGGCTTGATCTTGCGGCTTCTCCTGCTTTGCTGCATTGTGGCTGCGGGTACAAGGTTTCCTTGGTCTCAATGTTATATGGGAGTTTCCGAAAATTAGGGGTACCTTATTTGGGGGGTCCTTCTAATATGTAAGTATCCTGCTATTTAGGGCACTATATTAGGTCCCCTATTTTCGGATCTTTCGGAAACCCCATATGTCTTCGATATAAACCTTTAGAGTAGAAGTCAAGGTGGGTCTAAAAACGCGAGCGGCAGGCCCCTAGACTCCTTCCTTAACCTACCAAACCCTACTTTTTGTAGGTTCTTACTTTAAGCCATAATATGGAATTTATAGGGACCCTACTTTTTTGTAGGTTTTGGTCGGTTAAGGTAGACCCTGAATCACTGAATCAATCAACAAAACCTCACGTCCCGAACCCGAAAGCTCCACAAAACCCATCCTATCCCGGAGAAACTCTCCAAATCACGGCAAAGCTGATCCCGTGTCCTCGCAGCCAGATAGACCGCAGTTACAAGGTAAGTCCCAGGGTTTCCCGGTGAAGTACTCCAGCTTCTCCCCCCAACCCCAGAAGGCATCACAACCTGGCGTTTCAGGCGCTTTGGGAATACGTCCTGGGGCGTGTGGATTCAGACCTTAGCTTTGGGGGATTAAGAACACAACTTTACGAACAACACAATCCGACAATATGTAAGGTTTGAGTTTGAGGGATCAGTTCCAAGATGATTTGGGAGCTACTGGTCCTAAAGCTTGAAAACCGCCTTTTGGAACCCCAACTCGATGCAGGCAAACTCAGATTTTGTGCAGACGAAGGCGCACGTTATACCCCGGTATCCACAGCCTGGTTGTGCTTCATGTGCTTTGCACTTTGAAAACTGTCCTCGGCACTCTTCAAACATGTCGGCTTTTGCTGGCTTATATATAGACATTGGGCCTGTTTCGCGTTGATAAGGTTTGGGGGCTTCAAGCTTTCGCTCCAGAGGGATCAGGGTAACTGGGTGCCTATGAAAAAGTGTGCCTCCTGCTGGAGGGTTCGTGTGGAAATGGAGTCGCGCTACATACAGCTTGTAGCATTTGGTCCAAACCAATCTGTGCTAACATACACTGCGACAATGCTTGGCCAAGCATCCGTGGTATTTCACGAAACGCTGATCCTTGGATGCTATGGGGGCAGCCGTGCAAGGTCTCAGGTAGCAGCTGATGGCGAACTGTGGTGCCTACACCCCTTGATCTTCACATACACTGGTACAGTTTACTATATAGTATATATATATATACATACAATAGGGTAGCTTATCTGGACCTCCAACATATGTAGAACAGTAGCATTGTTATGGGTGCTTGGCCATGATTTCAACAGCTCACTTACTCCTCGAGCTTGAGGTAAGGTTTGCTTGGAGGATCATGGGACTTAGTAACTACGGTTACTATTCAGGTAACTATACTTATAATTACTTATAACCCCAGCTGTGGTACTTATAACCATACTTACTAAGTCCCATGATCCTCCAAGTAGGGTTAGGCGTTCAGGGCCCTCACTGCGAACCCCGAAAGCCCAAACCCTGCCCATCGAACTAACCAGAAACGTCTTCGATGCTCATAAGCACTCAAAAGCTACCCTAAACCCTAAACCGTGGCCCAAAATCTACCCTAAACCCTAAACCCGTGGCCCAAAATCTACCCTAAACCCTAAACATGGCCCAAAATCTACCCTAAACCCTAAACATGGCCCCAAAGGTCTCTGCAGGCCATCCAGCCCACTGGCCAGTCGTGGTGTCGGCATTGGAAAACCTCTTGCGGGCCGAACCCGGCAGTGTTCCTGACGTCTGGGTCGCCAAGAATCAAGGATTTGGGTAGTTGTCAAAATTAAGATCCCTTTTTGGGTACCCTAAATAATAGGTGCCGTATTATAATGGGGACCCAAAAATGTTGAACTGTCTATAAAATAGATCTAACTCCCTACCAAATAGTTCTAATGCAGACGCAAGCTTCACCTCCTTGTAGGCAGCACCTGCCGCAACACTGCTGGGGCACGCTCTGTCTGGTTTCTGGTTTCCGGACGGCAGGCTGAAACACGGCAAGGGGAAAGGATACAGTGTCCAGTCGAGTTCCATATGCCGCTTTATTCACTGCCATCCAAGACCATGGCAATGTATTTATACAGTTCTACTGTACTGTCATTGTTGTTAGAGTAAAGTTGTAGTAACTGTAGTATACTAAACTACTTCTGCATATAATACTTATCTATAGTTGTTAGAGTAAAATGGTAGTAACTGTAGCATACTTATTATTTATAATGCCTGTGATGTCAGCCGAGGGCGCGGATGTCCAGGAGGTGAAGTCGCCTGGACGACTCGATCTTCAAGAAGCGACCTTCCCGGCTCCCAAGAGCCTTGGCAAACCTCGGAGGCTGAGGGGCCTTAATGATTGGAATCGGGGTTCTTTAAGACTTCGTTTGAAAGGTGGCTTCTAAAGGGGTCGAGAGGGATGTTTATATGAGGGTTTCACAGGCGTGTACTACTACAGGAGGGGGGCCAAACCATGATTAGAATACTATTCATTCGGTTTCTGTAATTGCGACAGAAAATTCACCACAAGCCTTCCCTAAGTATTCAGGGTGCAGGACATGGTTTCGGGGCTGGGGCCTGTTCGGCTTATAAAGCTTTGCATGTCACTGGTGCGGCCGTGTTTGGGAACTTGTCATACCCGTGCAGAAGCGCAGCTGTGAGCATTTGCACTGACATCTTTGGTTATGCAGCTTCGACATTACAGGAATGGTGCCGAGAAGCATAAACCTTGTGGGAACATGGTTCAGGCCCAGAGGTCTGGGACCTTGCTGGGTTTCAACCACAGCTTCGCAACATTGCGCCGACATGGACTCAAAATCCCGAGCTCCCGAACACAACACGAGCCGGCAGAATATCATTCTGAGTATGATCATGCAGACTATACAGAGGTTTCGATTCTTGACGGCGATGGTCTTACTTTTCTTTGCTAGTGTGCTTTCGGGTATTGATGCGTTGTGAGTGTCCTCTCCTCTCCTCTTGTCACTAGAAATATGCCCAACACAGACCAACTACAACTACATAAGAGCATACTGACACTTACAGAACACACAGCCCTAAACCCTAAACCCTAAACCCCAACCCTAAACCCTAATCCCAATTCCTAAACCCTAATCCCTAAACCCTAAATCGTCAGGGAGCTGGGAACCCGTGTATCGAGTTTCTGGAAGGCTCCGGTACGAGGCCTCTGTCCCAGGCGCCGGGAGGCTAAGAGGGATGTATGAGGGTGTAATATAGGAGCCTTAATAATCAGAATAGTGTTCCCTTCAAAGGGAGGTATAAGGGTTACTATAACGGATCTATAGTAGAGTTTTGTAATTTGGGGCCTTGCCTTCATCATTAGAACAGGGTCTCGGGGCCCAATACACTATGATCACGTGTGATATGGGTAATACTTCAGGCCCCTATGTTTATTTAGAGGCCTTCTTAAGAAGGCTTCCCTATGCTAACTATAGTATAGAAGGGTTCCCGGTTCCTAACCATAGTATAGAATTGTAACCTTTGCCTTGGCTCTGGAGGAACACAGCTCCGTGTTTTCTTGATGAGGCTGATATGCTGGGTCTGCAGGGGGCATAACGAGATCTTTCCCGATCTGAGCCTTAGATTTGACATCTATACGGCACCTGAAAGCTCCGCTCGCCTACGTCTTGCCAGGCTGCGACCAACCAACGATTCTAAGATTCGAGCCGCTGACAACGTTAAACCCAATGACAAGCCATGGACGCCGCAACTTTCGAAACTCTGCCTGAGCAAGAAACTGCTGGTTCTTTGTTTGACGACCTTTGTTCTGGATGGACCCTAGTATGATGACAAAGCTACGCAAGTTCACAGCATAGCGAAGGAATCGGGAGGTGGCCTCAACCCTCAAACTGTCCAAGAACCCAAAACATCAAACATTCAACCCTAAACCCTAAACCCCAATCATCCCTAAACCCTAAACCCCAATCCCTAAACCCTGCACCCTAAACCAGCCCCTAAACCCAAAAAGCTCTAATCCCTAACTAAAGGCCCTAAACCCGAAAGCTCCTAAGACCCCAGAGCCGTCCAGCCCTACTACCTTGCAGAACCCTCATTTTAGAAAAACACCCCTGGGCTCTAGCAACGAGTAGCCGAAACTAAACTTTAGGTACTTCCCCATATACAGTAATAGTCTATAGTAGGGTTACTGTTAAGGTCCGAATATGCCTATATTGTGAATACTATTCAACTACTACTGAGTGGGGGCCGCACCCACACTAAACTCTACTAAACCCTGAACTCAGCCCAAATCCTGGATCCGTAACTCTAAACCCTCAAATATTGAGGCCCTGCAGCGGAAATGCCAACCCTAACTCTTGTAAAACCAACATCGCAAAACAGCCTAAACCGTAACACTAAAAGCCTCAAAACAGCACACCACAAGGCCTCACGCCGCAGGCCACTTTCTGCCACGAGGTCACCGTGATGTCCCAAAAAACTCCTGAGCCACTTTTCGACTGTCCTTGCCTTTTGTTTCTTGATAATTTTTACTTGTGTATGTTCATGTACTTAGTTGTGGAATATTCGTGTCGTGTTGTTAATCTAGGAGGCTTTCTGGGTTCGGGACTTCAGAGTTTAGGAGCTTTAGTCTGGATTGAGTTTTCGGTTTTCGGGCTTAAGGGCTTTCTGCATCTTTTGGGTTTAGGGTTTAGGGGTTTAGGGTTTAGGGGTTTAGGGTTTAAAAGTTGGTGAATCCAGGATGTAGTTTAGTGCTGTTTCAGGCCAAGGGTTGAGGTCATAATCGGGGGCGTAGATAATTATACCACTATTTCCTTAGCTTTGTTTCGGCATACTACACACCAAAACACCAAGTCTTACAACTAAGGCCCCGACACTATGGCTGCCTTGTGGTTGCCAAACTAGTCACCCATATAGGCTCCATAGTAGTTCCTTTTAGGGCTTACCTTATAGGATTCTGAATATGAACCCCAAAAAGTAACTACTATGGAGCCTCTAGGTAACCTATATTAAACTATGCCTGGAAGCCGAGGCAAAATTCTCATAGAAACTCCCAAGCGCAACCTACTGCCTTGAGCTCTAGATGCTGCCCCTCCCCCCTCAAGCCTAAAACCTAAACCCTGAAAACCCTGAAAACCCTAAACCCTAAATTATAAAAACAACAGAAAAAACGCATTGGATCGAGGTGGAGGCGAGCAAACTGAGAGAAACAGTGCTATCGAAAGCGATACAACAGGCACCTGGTTTAGGGTTTAGGGTTACCTGCATGACTAAACACATCTTTAACGAATCACACGGACTTGCAACATGTGAATCAAAACCCGTTTTCTGCAGGTTTCAGTAGCATTGCTGCTTTTGACTTGCTGACGCCCTTCCCCTCCGTCTGCAACAAAGATGAAGCGAGCAACACAACTGGCTGCAGAATTGTGCTCAGACTGCGTTGAAGTTGAACGCCATGGTAGAACGAGAGGGGTGAAACTTGCAGCATCCAGCAAAGACGACGTCCTGCAGCTATCTTCCTGCTACAACACCATGCAAGTTGCGCAAGTGCGCGTGCCCACATAGTCTGGTTTGGTTTGCTTGTTAGGATGTCAGGAATCATAAAGGGACCTCAACGCAAACACGAAGCACTCTGTCATGACCAAAAACGACGAAAGCATGCGCACATGTGCACACACACACACACACACACACACACATCTAACTCCCATGCCCAGAAATCCGAAGAATGATACCCTAGATTGAGCAGAGACCTTTAACTCTTGAAGCCTCGCGGCCTAACGCCTTCAACTGCTAAAACGCTTGATATAAGCTCTAAATCCACAAGCGAGGCTCTGTGACCAGGCGAAGTAGTCGAAGGTGCAGTTGCCATCGCTCAGCACTGTGGTGGCTTTGTAGGGCTCCTGGACTCAAAGCTAAAGTGTGTGGGAGTTTTTAGAAGGGCCCCCACCCTGTAATAGTGGTATAGGGCTCTAATATAATCCTTATAGTCACTATTACAGGGTGGGGGCAGCTCTAAGGGAGTTTCATTAAGCTTTAGGATATGAGGCTTAGGACAGGTTCGGGCACAGAGTAGCAGCAGAACGCGCGACCCTGTAAGCCGCAACCCTTGTACAGACCCGTCCAGACAAAACAAATGCCCAGAAGTCCCCCCGAACCCAAAACCCTAAAACAAGCCCCGAACCATCGCGGGGGCCGTGCGACTGGCAGTCAATCCTGATAACGCAATCATGTGTGTCAGGTGCATCGGGGCAGCACACTCCCTGAACCCCGAAAAAACCCACCTAAAGGAAATGGATAACAAGCGAATCATGATGATAAACGATAAAGCCCTAAACATTAGGTTTTTCGCGTTGAATCAATCCTGAATCCTGCAACCCCAAACCCTCGTAGGTCGTTCCAAGCCGAGGCTCCAGGGCAGGGCAGTGCTCGCAGTTCCTTCGTGCCACGCAAGAGACTTGAGCTGTTGGATCACAGGTTTCAGAAAGTAGGTGATGCCTTGCCCTACTTTTTTTATTTTTATTTTTTTGTTGGGGGGGGTGGGGGGGATTCAAGTTGTCAATAATCATTGCCTTATTTGGGGCGGGGGGTCCTTCTAAGGATATTCGAGTCGATGTTAGTTCATGAATCCTGTGGGCCATGCCAGGGGCATGGTTACTCGCATCAGGCACGGACACGAAGAAGACCTGAAACCTAAAAACCTAAACCCCCACATCGTAGGGTCTAATCATAGAGCTTAAGGTTAGCTACGTCGTACGTCTTTCATCTTCAACTCTTCGGCCCAGTGTCATCGTGTTCGGAAGCACCAGTCGCCTCCGCAGCGCCGCTGCGACGACCACAGCTTCGACCAGGTGTTGGAAGTCCTCCGGCGGCTATGAGACTGAAGAATTTGAATGGGGTGTGTGCGGTATCTGAGATTGCATGTGTATTTGTGTGTATGTGAGCATGACTGTGTGTGCATATATATATATATGGTAGAAGGAGGATAAAGACAGAACGAACGGAAGAAACAAATTACGACATAAAGGCAAAACGGAAGAACACATAACGAATGAAATAACATAACGAACGAAATAAAGACAGACCAACATAACTACAGAAATACATAAAGAGCAAAATGAAGAACGACAGACATGAAGACCGAAATAACGAAACAACGACATGTTTAAATAACAAACCAAAGAAACACGTACAAAACGAAATAACGAAAGACATACACAAATCACTGTTAAATAACCAAAGAAAGAACGACAGACATAATGAGACAAACCAAGAAATAAATCAAGACAGACAGAAAGAACGAAAGAACGACAGAGAGAGCGAGGGACGTTGAGTGAGTTGTCTTCTCTTGACCAGAACTGCACAGGGGCTTAGGATGGTGCAAGGGTAGGGCGACAGTGGGTATGGCGTGTCGGGCTTAGGCTAAAGTTGAGTGAGCTTCTGGAGGACCCTGAGTCTCAGCTGCAGGCAAAGATGTATTCACCTCCGGCGCGCATTCGGTTTAGGGTTTAGGGTCGTATCAAGCGAAGTGCCCACAGAGTTTTGGCGGTGGCGTTAATGTGCTGAAGTGGTTGATTCTCAAGAACTCTCCTGTAAGTCCCCGCACCCTCATGCCCTTTATGCCCTCTATGGGCTTTAGCACCATGTAAGTTAGATGTGGTCCACAGCAAGTTCTTCAGAGACTCGCACGGCGAGCATCATCGGCATTAGTTTCAAATCAAGTTAAAGTCACTCTAGCATCTCCAGGCCTTTGAACCCCAGCAGGGAAAAGCGCAGAGCGGCTGGAAATCTTTGTAACACTGACTCTCCCATTTCAGTGCTTTGGCATTACGGGTTCCAGGGATGCCAAAGGCTTAAGCGGGTCCTGCGCCAGCGACATGCCGGGTGGATGCTCATAGCTTACGAAGCTTTGATCCCCGAAGCGCTCGGCAAAGTCGTCGATGTACCATTGCCCGCGATCGCGAAGAAAGTACTCCTCGCCGGGACGCCCCCAAAGTTCAGCCATGGCTGCAATCATTCCCAGACTCCTAGACCTAAGAATAACCGAGGAAGAAAAAGGGTGCCCTTTCTGGTTTAAAAGGGGTTAGAAGGGAACCTAAACCATAAACAAAGGGAATAAGGGCCTACTCTGGGTCCTAGATTCTGATTTTACGACGCTCGTGGCACAAACAACGGCTCCAAGATACGATACAACCAAATGCGCAGAGTGCGGTATCCGTCATTTCCCATGTGGCGGATATCTGCTTTTGCAACGGCAGGATCCTCATCACCATCGTCCGAAACATCACAATTATCTTTCGTGGCTGATACATTGTGTTCGCCTTCAGCAATCTCGACTCCTGCAACTTCGTTTGATTTCATGCTCATGAATGGTCATGCTGAATATCATCACACTTGTGGTCATCACCGGTGTCGAGTGATGTCCTCATGTTCATACCGTCCCTAAATACTTCTGGGACGACGGATCCGATTAGCGATACTACTGCTCGCACAATCACTTCTGCCACCACGGCTTCTACTGCTACTACTGCTGCTACAGATCCTGAAACGACTAGAACACATAGGCACTAGCAGGGCAAACGATGCTCCCAAGAACTTCTCCACCATCCTTGCCATCTACGCCGTTGGCATGGGCCAGGGCAGGAGACTTCTGGCCAGCACCCTCATGTGCTCGAAGCCAGAAGAAGTTCCTGGGCGTGAGTTTTGGCCTGAGGGTTTGGGTGTTTAAGGGTTCGGGAGGGGCGGACGAGAACATCGATGCTATGTCGGGTTCAGCGGTTTGAGTTTTAGAGTGTGCCTTGCAGGGTTTCTGAGCCTGCGAAAGTCCTTTTGCACCTAACCAGCGCAACTGCCAGGGCTCATCCCATGTGCGATGACCTTCGGGTCGAGGACGCGCAGGCGGATGGGCTGTGCAGTCTGCTGGGCGCGGATGTTCCGGAACACCTGTGTGCTGCCATGTTCTCGTGCTTACACGAGATTTTGTACCACAGCATATCAAGCTGAATTAGGGCCCAAGCCCCACCTGATTGCCATAGAGGCCATGGACGAGATCGGCAGTGGAGTGGAAGAGACGATGCTCGACGAACTTATTGAAGACCTGCGCCGTGCCAAAACCCTGAAACAACCTGCCAATACAGGTTCCAAGTATGTCCTTAAACAGGTAAGTTTTGGGGCAAGCTTGGGGTTAGGAATACTTTCGTATCTCAGGGCACTGGACTTCACCTGTGATCCCTCAAGTGCCGGTAGTTTTTAGCAAGACCTCAAGCCGCAAACGCTGTGCACCTCGAAGCCTCTAAAACCTAGAGCCCAAAGCTGCTACCTGTAGTCTCCATTGTAGTTCTTTTTTTTGCTTATCCAATTTTATGGTTAGGACCCTATAACGAAGATGTTGGTTGACCAAAAAAAGCAACTACAATGGAGACTATAGGTACAGCGCTGTCTACTAAACCCCGCTGGCACCGCCAAAGAACAAAGCTCGGAAAGGTGGCAATACTGTTTCGTCACGGGGTTGAGTTCCTCGAAGCTTGGAAGCCCAGTTTTTTTGTGGTTGGCTCTTTTCGTGTTATTGTCATAGGATCTTAGACAAGAACTTTAGGGTACAGTAAAATTAAAACCCCTGACCGTTCAAACATGCAACATGAAACTCAAAATTGCTGAATTCAAACGGGACAGCTGTTGAAGTATGAGCTCAAAACTTGAGGGGAGCCCTACATCACATGGGAGTTTTCCGAAAATAGGGGACCGTAATATAGTACCCTAGATAGTAGGATCCTTATTATAAGGGCCCCAAAATTAGGTACCCCTAATGTTCGGAATCTCCCATATGTGATTGCACCTGCTGGTCCATCCAGTGGCGTTGAAGCCCACCCACCTCACTCTCGTTGTGATGTTCCAAAAACTCGTACCTGGCTGGACTGCAGCTTACCCATAGGCCCCAAAGTAGTTCCTTTTTGGGGTTCATATATAGAACCCTATAAGGTAACTCCAAAAAGGAACTACTTTGGGGCCCCTGGGTAAACCCGACACAAGCCTAACTTTGAGCTTCTCGTTTAGGGCTGCGGGACTAGTCCTTCAGTTTGGACCCACCTGTCGACAGTAAGACAGAAGTACAGTGTGGAAATGCACAAGCAGCCGAACCCTCGTGCTCGTGGGTTTTCTGAATTCAGGATACTCTGTTGGCTTGCACGCTTGGGTTCACCAAAGATTGAGGACGGCTGAACTACACACGGAAAAACACAGCAATCTCATGAATATCCCACGGCCTGATCTCAACCGACAATTTGGCACCCCAACCAAACCAACCCCCCCCACCCCACCCCCACCCCCACCCCCAGCCCCACCCCCCACCCCACCCCCACCCCCCACCCCCAACCAGCCCAAACAAAGCCGGATGCCGAACCCCAGCCCAAGGTTTTTCTTGAAGCGATCAACAAAGGAATGCCCAGTTGCAGGAATGCCTTTGTGCGGACGGACGCCTTCACCTTGGCCGGTGGAAACTGCCGGACTAATGAACCCTAAAGCCTAAGCCGTGACTAATGAGTGCTGTGGCCCGGACCCGGACCTGTTGTACAAGGATTCATCCTCGGGGCTGATCGGTCATGAAGGGTTTATGGTTCCGTGTTACGGCTCCCTGCATCCTCCGGCATGCCTTGTTCCTCCTGTCGTTTTCGAATCTCCTGGTACCTCAGCTTCGACACGAAACAGCGCTTCGAGGGCTCCGGCACAAGGAGAGTTTCCGAGTGAAGGGAGGACGTGTAAGGACTGACATCTGCTCAGGATTTGTCCCAAGACTTACCAAGGATAGATTTAAAAGGCTCCTACGAGAATGCTATAAAGCCCCATACCCATTGCAAGCAGAACAAAAAGGGTTTTAGACCATAGAGTGTCCGAGATCTCCGTCGGAAGATATCTACAACATTAGTCTTAGACCTCAGGCTTACTTCCCCGAAACCCTGGCAAGCGAAGTTGTCAAACTTCCAGAATAATGCCAAGTTCCAGAAATCCGGACATCTCAGATTTCTTCTCCCGTGCCCGTAGCACAAATAACCCCCAAAACCAAGCCCTCCGCAGTATTTTCCCGAAGCTCCGCCAACCACCACAAGCTTGCTTGCCCCGAAAGATTGGACCTGAAATTGTCAGATCCTATAAGACCCACACTCCATCTGAGGCTTCCACAAATATGCAGCCCGTGTTGATGTGCTCCTCGGGTCTCGTCCAGTACCTTAAACTTGAGGCTTGGGCATATAGCACTAGCGTTTGCGGTGGGGGTGGTTCTTCGATTTCTTGCTGTGGCAAGGTAGAGTGCTTGCCTTAGGCTTTGCTGGTTTCGGGTTGCGGATTCGCGCGACGTTGGGCATCAGGACTATGGGGCTTTGCGGGAGAAGCCGGCAAAACGATCATCATCCTCAGCAGCAGCGGCACCACGAAACCGTCATCAGCATCATGACCACTACCATGATCAGCATCACAACTCCGACCAACATCACCTGCCAGCAGCACCGGCAACCACCACTGCCGCCGCAAGCGTCATTGGCATCACCATCATGATAATCATTGCCGCCAACGTCATCACCTCATGCTCATTCATCACAACAACAACCATCAGCAGCAACATCATCAGCTGTGAGTGTCCTCGCTAGCAGTGCTGTGTTTACCATCAGTGTTATCGCCATCGCTAGTCATCGTCATCGTCCTCCTCGTCATCATGGTTGCTGTCATCATCACCACCGTTTTCATCGTCATCCTCACACACGTCAACAACAGCAGCATCATCATTAGCACAATCACCATCGTCATCATCGTCATCGCCGCCGTCATCAACATGATCATCATCAACCTCATCATCGTCATCACGATCATCATCACCAGGCAATCAAACACAGTGCTCCACATCCTTACCCCGCGCCGTACGAAACCACAACGAAGTCACCACACACCCTAATCTCTCTCTAACTAAGCAAGCATAGTCTACCGCTCTCAAACATGCACACGGTGCAATGCACATGCTGTAATGGCCCCTACAACCCAAGTCCTGGAGCTTTCTAAAGCGAACCAAGGAACTGCCACAGGTGCTGCTCGGGCCAAAAGTGATCAGTCATCACCTGCCCAGAAGACATGCCGGGTGTCGAGGTGGAGCTGGGGGTTGCCTTGAAGGTTGCTACGGTTGATGACATAAATCCTGCATTACCCAGAATGAGGAATATACCATACTTCCCATAGTTTAGGGTCCTCAAGGTAATGCAGGATTTATATCATCCACCGTAGGAAGCTGGTGTAGTAGGACAAGACACACATCCGAAACAGACTCTCATGCCCATGGTGTAGTCGCCACATCGTGTCCGAGGACCTTGTGGTCTTCAGAGCCGAGCCTTTTCCTTAACCTTACCTTTGGTCAGTAGGGAATGGAAGCACGGTAGTAATAGTAGTTATATGGTAGTAATATGGTTGTAATATTGGTTATATGGTAGGAATAAATATGGTAGTAGTATGGTAGTAATAGTACTTTTAATTGTACCCCATTCCTCCATTCCCTACTAACAAAAGGTAAGTAGCACGCTTCGATGTTTTGGTTGCCACAGCAATCCCTCGCATCGTTTAGGGTTCTCCTCGATGGTTTGAAGTATGTTTTTCGACCCCCGCACGAGCCATGCTTTCAATCTCACTTTTGTGCGTAAGCAAAGAAGACGCTTGAACATCCTTAAAATCTGGAACAGCGTGATCTCCGAAAGCCCTAAACTTATGCCCTCAAGTACTTGAGCCTTACCAAGTGACCAAGTCCTAGACCTTACACACACACATGTATCCCTGAACCGAAAACCTGAAACTTCCTTGCACCTCGAAATCGGCGTCGCCCCAAAGGGCTGGAAAAGGATCTTGGAGGATAACGATGTCCTGGGTGTCAGGAGCTGAGGGTTTTTCTTTTTTTTATGTGCCCTTTTCGATTAGCTGAGGGTTTTGGGTTTAGAGTTTGTCTTTAAAGTGCAACGGACTGCTCGATGTCTCGCAGCCCAGCCCATAGGGGCATGCACTCAGGGGTTTAGGGCTTTTAGGCTTCGGAGATGTAGAGCGTAGGGGTTTGAAGTTGCGTTTTCGCGTTGGGGATTTGGGCGCTGGAGGTCCTCGAAAAAGTGGCTACAAAAAGTAGCTACTAGTAACGTACATACTTACAACAAAACTAAGGAGTGTACTCGTTTCAACCTGTATAGGCTCAAGATGCTTCATGCAGGAGCCTGAACCTCAATGCTCAATGCGGGGTAGCTTGAAGACATAGGTTCAGGCTCGCAGATCAATTTGGCAGTGTTTCAACCCCAAGCTCGGTACTTGGCCTCATGTCTATTTCTTTCTATATCCGTATCTGTATCTATATCCATAACTATTATAAAGGAAAAGCCAGAAAGATGGAATATGATTACCCTAAACCCTTTATGGTAAATTATAAGGTATCCTACCATGAAACCATATTCCAACTTTCTGGAGTTCCCTGTAGACCCAAACATGAGCATGGTGGAACTATGGCCCGAAAGGATTTTGCGGGGACCGAACCCTCTGTTCGAAGTCTGCAGATGCAACTGCAAATTTGTCAACCGGACCCCACGCACCACGAACCTCCTTAAATCAGGACCTGTTGGGCTAGGGCTGAGGCTTTAAACGCGGATCTAAAGCTTCTGAGTCGCAGAGTCCAGCACGAGACCATCAATGCCAAGGTGTGCAAAGGTGTGAAGCACCAGCCAGCGCATCTTCCAGATCGCATCTTTCCTGCTGGCTCTCAGCGCTCGAACAGCCCCGAAACCACAATTTCAAACCAAAGGTAAACCACAACATCCTAAACCACAGTAGCCCTAATGCAACCCCGCTTCCGACAAACCCAAAGGCACTGGGTTTAATTCGTTTCCCATGATAAGACGTGCTGAAGACTCGAGCCCTAAACACCAAACCCCGCAACCCCAGAAAGACGAAGCTCTCTGAAAGATGTCAAGGAAGAGGGTCTCTGCATTTCAGCCCGAATTACAAGCCTCTGGACGGTGCAAGGTTTGCTTTCTTTGGTGCTTGCTTAACGCCTTTTCCCCTTCCAGCACTGTTAAACTCTCCAAGAATCCGCGTAGGGTTTTAGGACCTAAGATTTAGGGCTTTAAGGTAAGGGATTCTAGGGTCTTACGGATTCGGATCGCTGAAGGCGAAAGCCTTGGCAAGCGTACACCGAAAATGATAGCCCTCGAGCTTGTCAAAATCGTGCGATAGCAATGGCCCCGGTAGGCCGTCTTCCGTTGAATATTCATTCTGTGTTATAGCAATGATGGGATTTGACATCGTTTAATTGCAGTGCCTAGTTTGGCGTCAGCCCCGAATTCGACGTATGCTGTGCCGTTTAGGGCTTATAGACCCTAAACCCTAAACCCCTATAAACCCTAAACCCCTAAACCCCTAAACCCATAAACCCATAAACCCCTAAACCCATAAACCCATAAACCCCTAAACCCCTAAACCCTAAACCCCTAAACCCATAACCCCTAAACCCCTAAACCCCTAAACCCTAAACCGGGGCTTTATGCATGCCAGGCGTCAGTGCCGGGCCTTGGGGCACTGGATGCGACAGCGTGTGGAACTTCCCTGGGGAGTTTCCCAAAAGTAGGGTTACCCTTAAAGGGATCCTTTAAGGGCTCCTTAAAGGGATCTATAAGGGTTCTATAAAGGGTTTAGGGTTTAGAGTTTGCCAAAAGTGTGGGAGCCTAATATAGTACCCTAAATCGCAGGATCCTTGTTATAAGGGCCCCAAATAAGGTACTCCCAATTTTCGGAAACTCCAAGCAGATTTGGGGTTTTTAGGGTGTGTAATGGGCTTTGGATCAACATCTTCAGGATCTTACAAGTTCAGATGTTGGTGCATGTACCGATTACATGACATATATGCGTATGCATATGCCTCTGGGCATATGTATGTACAGATAGACCTCCAGTCATGAATGCGAACGTCACAGACGACGTCTAGTCGCACTTCAATTCCTGCAAAATGTCGGAAGCGAATCTTCGACTCGGCCACGCGGCTTTCCTACCGTAGGACATAAAGCAATCCCACCATGCCTGAAGCACATCTACAGGTGTAGTTATATGTACGACATAGTCAGAAACGAGTTGGGGTTTGAGTTTAAACGTGTTTCTTCGTTTTGGTGTAGAAACTGAAACATGCGAAGGTACGCTTGCGCATGGCTCGCCGCGCGGCGCGGTCCAGTGCCACGCAGAGGAAATTCCTCACTGAGCCGAGACAGCGCACCCAAACAACTTCATCACCTCTGACTCTCACCAACGTAGCTGAAATCTCAAACCGCAAACTTAACCCGAAAGCCTTACGCCTAAACTATTGTCTCAACTCTAAAGCCCCTAAGCCTGAGACCATAAGACTCCGAGAATCCGCTCCAGGCCCGGGGCGTTCTTTCTGATGGAGAGAGCCTGGTGTTTGGAGTTCAGGTCCTACGAAGTTCCAGGGTTTCTGACTTCAGGCTTTTCAAGCTGAAGGTGTTTTCAGTTCCGGTTTTTGCGCCTTATAGGGCCCAAGATGCAACAGGATGGTAATTTCGTTGCCACCTTGTGAGGAATCCACGAAGACAGGATTATTTTAGGTTAAGGATCAACGGGCTTCCAAAGAGGGAGGGACCCTTTTCCTGATTACAAATCTTTGCACAAGGCCAAACGGCCTTCAGAATGCCAGTATCTCTGGAAAAGCAATGATTCTGTCATGCCTGCTCCATTCGGATTGATATGGCTGTCCCTCTCATCCATGGCATTGCCAGTGTCATAATCGCAGTGGTCTGCTTTCCAATAAACGGCATTCAATGATATGCCTGTACATCGGAACCGAAACTTCAATTCTGGCTTAGGCTTACTTGAGGTTGGGATCTCATTTCTTCGAGCTTCGGTGCCTCGGTCTTGGGATTACCTATATACGGTTCTGCGTTGGGGCTCGAGGACTCGACGTTCAGGGCATGAGGTGTACTATAGGAGCCTGTTAGACCGCAGTTTTTGGGTCGAAATTATTTTCTGGAGCACCCAAGATAGTATAGGTAATTCTTGAGGCCTCTACAGTATGGCGGGTTGATCCATCGAGCAGACGAGAATCCAAGTTCATAGCCAAGCTCATGTACTTGGCTTCGCCGGTCGTCCATGTTGCAATCAACGGGCCGTGCTTCCTTGGCAGAAACTCCAGCTGCATGGTGGATAGCTGAAAGCTGTATACAGATTATCGTGACGACGCGTAGATGTACACTTGTAGTTTCGGCTTTCCGGAGTCGGATTCGTCCGGATACTCTTCACGCTAATGCAGAAATGAGCATGCTTGCGATGACTACCGACAGCTGCTGTTCTTGTTTGGGCTGCTTCCGAAAATCCCGAAAACTACACCCGAAATCAAACCCTAAAGCATACGTAAACCTTCTAGGAACGAACACCGAAACCCTGGTCCGAAAATTTTAAGAAACGCTCACACCCTTAAAACCCTAAAATCCCTAACCTACACCCTCAAACATCATCGTAATACCTAGAAGCCAACAGTCATACAAGCCCAGCTTTGCCGAGATTCTTCGCCTTTCGGCGGAGGAGCTTCAGGTCGTCATCCTTATCGGTTTTCTAGGCTGTTCGGTAACCCACTGGGAAAAAGTATATACTTTTTTAGGCTTCTAATTTCATAATAGGAACCCAGAAACCTGAAAGTAAAAAAGTGCACCACTGAACAGCCTAGTTTAGTGTTCATAAAGGTTTAGGGTCGCTCCAGGACACGGGATTGCGGAGCTCGGGGTAAGGGGTTACGAACTAAGGTTTTGGGATTAAGACGTTGTGGCTTCAAGGTTCGACGCTGGGGAGTGTAAGGGCTTGGGATTTTTTTGGATCTGGGGGGGCGGAGCATTTAGGGCGAAGACCTTATGGCTTGCGGGTTCAACTCCTTAGCTTCGTGCAGTGAGAACTAGCGGGTTTAAGGAGGGGGTTGCCACGGCCCAGGCCCTGAGATCTACATGGTTTCATCCCAGCACTTTGAGAACATGCTGCGCTGCCTCCGCAATGAACTCTAAACCCCTAAACCCCAAACCCTAAACCCTAAACCCCAAACCTCTAAGCCCCACTCCCCTAAACCGTCGCCGTTCATCTAAGCTAAGCATCACCCAGTTTCAGGAGGAAGTCCCCGTCCAATTCCGCAGAACGCAGCGCAACCTCAGAGGAGGGCTACGCCAAGAGCGGCTTCGTAGTGTTCAGGGTGGCTTTAGGGTTAGGGTTTATGAGGGTTTAGAGTTTAAGGCTTTTTCTGTATATTAGTGACGCAGAACCGACTTCGACATAACAAAGTTTCCGAAATTGGTGGACCCTAATATAGTACCCCAAATACTATAAGGACCCCCAAAGTGGTACCCATAAGTTTCGGAAACTCCCAAATGTTAAAATTCGTAGAAACAATGAACCCTGACATCCTTCAGTCTCCCATTCTCTGAAGCTAACCAGTGGTTTTGGGGTTCCCTTGGCTCTTTAGCTCCTTATTCAATAGGGATTATCATCATCCCTCCTTAGCTCCCATAATATCAACTGTTAGGAAGCCTGAAAGTCAAAACCCTGAAGTTGTCATGAGCATATTTGGGCAGTTGTCGAAATTCTGGTCCCCTTTTGGGGTCCTTTTTTTATTACGGCACCTCATAGTTAAGGTACCCAAAAAATTGACCATAATTTTGACAACCACCCATTTGGTCTCCGAGAAGCCGTCGATGAAGCACCCGACCTTCGGCTTCGTCTAGGGCGGCTGAGGGCAAGGGTTTAGGGTTTATAGGGTTCAGGGTTTCGGGTGTAGGGATGCGGGATTTAGGATTTGGGAATTTCCAAAAATTAGGGGTACCGTTCTGGGGGTCCTTAGAATATGGATCCTACTATTTAGGGTACTGTATTAGGGTCCCTTATTTTCGGAAACTCCCATTTAGGGTTTGGGTGCATTTTTGGGCCAACGGGTTTGGAGCTCATGGGTTCAAGGATCGTCTGGCCGGATGGCCATTCGCTCCTGCCATCAGTCTATTGGGTGGTTGTCAAAATGAGGGTCCCTTTTTGGGTCCTTAATATTGTACGGCACATAATATTTAGGGTTTAGGGTTTAGGGTTTTAGGATTTAGGGTTTAGCCCAAGAGGGGACCCTAATTTTGACAACCACCCTATTGAATCCCTGAACCCTAAACCCGTAGTAAGGAACTCAACGGGGCCGTAATGTGACCTCAAGAAAATCCGAATCCCTCTTCATCAGGGCTCTACTATCCCCATATAGACTGTCGCCTGTAGATCCATAACTATGTAACCATGGTCTGCAGTGAGATTCACCTATAGTCTCCATTGTAGTTCCTTTTTTGGCTATCCAATTTTATGGCTAGGACCCTGTAATAGAGAGTTTGGTCAACCAAAAAAAGGAACTGTAATGGAGACTATAGGATGGTCTGCAATGAGATTCAGTGCATGGACGCTGAGGGAGAGCTCCTGGCAGCCCACGAGGCTGCCAAGGCAAACTTGCCAAGGGTCAAAGGAGGGACCCTTAATAAGGACCCCTAGGTATATACCCTTAATATAGCTATTATATACCCATTTTATAGCCCATTATAGGGTAGGGGTCCCCATTAAGGGTCCCTCCTTTTCCCCTTTGAAACTTGCAGAGCCTGAGCCCTCGTTAAACTCCCTCAGCCCAGAACACTATGGAAGGGTCCAGTGTGGCCTTAGTAACTATAGACTGGGGTTTGAGGGGCTCCTTATTATAAATAGAGTATTGTATACCCGCAGACCCTTTCAAACTACGAAGGCCCCTATATTACTTGTTGGAGTTTGTGGTTTACGGTTCAGGATGTTGGAGTTTACGGTGCAGGGCCGTCCACCCTTACAACTGCATTGCTGCCCGAACACTCTACACGCCTTGAACACTATACCTATAGTCTCCATTGTAGTTCCTTTTTTTGGTTAACCAAAATCTCTATTATAGTGTCCTAACCATAAATTTGGATAACCAAAAAAGGAACTACAATGGAGACTATAGGTAGACCCTAAACTCCTACACCCCTGGCTATCAAGTCCTGTACAAACTGATGCCTCTTGGTCTATCCTCAACATCACTTGGCTTTATCGCCTCGGCGTCTGCTCCCCGCGATCTATCGAAGAAGTGCTTGCACCGACAGAAGCGGTGCCAACGTCAGCGCCCTCGGCCAACCGCGGGTAGGGATTTCGGATTTCCTCCTTTCGACTTTAGGGTCTGGGCTTAGAAAGTTAGTTAAGGCTTAGAAAGAGTTCGATTTTATACAGCTTTGGGGTTTTGCAGTGTTTGGGCTCGGAGTATTCGGTTTCAGGCTGTAGGATTTCGGGCGCAGGGCATGGGGATACAAGTTGTGATGCAGGTTTCTTGGGCCTCCCTTGAAACCCTCGTAAAGAGACTGGGGGATTGCTCTGCAATTTGTGTGGAGTTTCGGGGCTTTGAGGGAGTACTGCAGGGGCCAAAGACGGCCCATTTTACTTCGAGTTGATGTTTGGGCAGTTTGGGCATATTGTACTGCACTGTACAACTTAATATCGATTTGATAACTACGGAACAAAACTTTTAAATGCTGAGGCTCTCCTGGAGTGGCCCCCCGCCCCCTACGTGCCGTCAAATCTCGTGCGAGCGAGCCTCAGCGCGAGGGCGGACGGCTGGAATCGAAAGAGCTGTGGACCTGCGAAGGTTCCGGAGTTTAGGCTCTAACCTCAAACCCGGGCCGTGTTCTGGGTGCTCTTTGCAAAGTGGCGACACTGCACAGAAAACTGGTGCCTTCTGCGACAGGCCAACACTCGGGTCTGATGATAGGTGTGCCAGTGATGATGCACTTTTGACGGGACGAGGGCCTTTCATGTTCTGCACGCCTTAAACCCTAAACCCTAGATCTTCGAGCTTCAGGGTGTTTTAGGTGTGGGCTTTGGTGTTGACTGTTTGGAGGCCTTTCATGACTCCCGTGGCCAGCAAGCTGGTATGGAAACGGAAATCATGCACATACCGTAGGGGCCCCAATAATTAGGATAGGCTTTTGGAGCCCATTAAACTATACTACAGCACAGCGGATAGTTTTCCGGCCTCAAACCCTGTACTTATAATAAGGAACCCCCAAAAAAGTATAGGTAATTTTTATAGGCCCCTAGTATTATCTCGCAAAAAAGGAAAACCAATTCAGATCATTGACTCGACGGGCCAAGAAAAGGCGAATAGGCTTTCGGGGCACAACCTAGGGGCCCAAGTAATGTAGGGGCCTTAATAATTAGAATAGGGTTTTGGGGCCCATTATACTATAACTACGGTGGATGATATAAATCCTGCATTACCTTAAGGGCCCTAAACTATGGGAATTATGGCACATTCCTTATTCAGGGTAATGCAGGATTTCTATCATCAACCGTATAATAAGGAAACCCCTACACTAGCCTTGGTAATTTAGGCCCCTACAGTCATTGTCTGATACGACCCAAAACCCTATTCTAATTATTGAGGCCCCCTGTGTGATTCGGTCCAAATCATGTGATACTGTTGAGGACATAAATCCTGCATTACCCATCATAAGGAATATACGGTATTTTCCTTTTATTCCTTATTATGGGTAATGCAGGATGTATATCATCAACCGTACCACGCACCTCGTGGCCGCCCACCTGGTCCTCGGCTGTAGCTTAAACGAGCTCGGGGGGTTTGTGGCTCAATCCCGACAAGGCTCGATTCAAATTAGGGTCGATGGGATTTGGGCTTATTGTGGGTGTTGCATGGTTTGTGGGATCGAGACCGAAGCCAAAAGCCGAACGATTAGGGACGAAGGCTCGAGTAGCGCTGGACATGAAAACAAGGACCGAGGTACGGGCAGGCTCGTCAACAAAAGCATCGGGAATGAGGATGCGCGCACAGACGTTCAACATGTGGCATTGGGATTTCTGGCGTGTGCTTTCCAATTGAAGCAATAACAACTTAAATACTTGTTCTCATCAAAGGGACAGCATCTCAGAGATGGACACATTCTCCTCGTTACACATTTCCAGGAAGCGCTCCTTTATCTCATCCTGCACCCAAAGGTAGAGCGGCACCTGTTCCTCGTTGGCTCGAGCTGATGGCGCCGCTGCAAGAGCTCTATGCAGGCGAAGCAGGAGACACGTCGCGGCGAAGCAACGACAGCATCGCGGCAGGCTTGTGTACAACATGGCTGTACTGTGCTGTACTACTGACCCCAATGCTCGATGCTAAGTTGTGTGTCTAGCACTCAGGGTTCCAGGCTTGATGATCTGTTTCGGATTTCCAACTTTCCAATTCCCATGGCTCATGGGCGTCTGAAGATGTCGAGGCCCAGACGATGTCACAAGGAACCTGTGCATGTGATTGCCCCAAGGTCCGTTTACATGAACAGCATATACTTAGGTAGTACCCGAATAGTCACCCCGATGAAGCCTCTTGACATCCTCAGAAAATTATTGTATAATAGGCGCAACAGAGTACCCTGCGGCTGCAATGAGTGGTGTTCTGACCTGAAGTAACCGGTCTATGTCCCTTTGCGCGAAGCTACCCACATGAGCCAGAAAGCCAAACGCATGAAGCGAGTCAGCCCCACGACTGTCCAGAACAACACTCCCGCACCAACTACAAACTCATCACCTCAGCATCTTCTATCCCTTAGTCGCCGGAAAACCAAGTCTGCCCTCCCTCGACTGTCCTTCCAAAGCCTGCACTATACCTCAAGGGTTTATTGGAGATAGCAGTCTTCCGAAAACACATGGGTGGTTGTCAAAATTATGGTCCCTTTTTGGGTACCCTAACTAATAGGTGCCGTATTCTAATAAGGAGCCAAAGAGGGACCCTAATTTCGACAACCGCCCACATGCAAGCACCAGGAGATCACCTGGTTTCGTGGCTAACTGGTCAGTTTTCGTTCCCAAAGCGTGCAAATTATCAAGAATGAAGAATTTCTCGCCGAATCTACGATACTGCCATCCCAAACCCAAGTACCGAATTAGTCCGTGCCATGGGTCCTCGGGGTATATCACGGCAGCGTTGTATTTAGTAGCTAGCTCTGTTGGCAATCTGCCTGCGCGGACATCTTTTTTCAAGTTTCCCGATGAGCTCGCGGTCGTCGCAACCGGCGATCAGCGAACCCTAGAACCGTAAACCGTGATAGAGTTTGATCTTTATCTATTTATCCATACAGCTCTTCTACTTCTTCTTAGTACTGCTGCTTATTTCTCCTCCTCCTCCTCCACCTCCTCGTCCTCCTACTAAGACTACTACTACGACGACGACGACGACGACTACTACTACTACTGCTACAGCTGCTGCTACTGCTGCTACTACTGATAGTACTACTGCAACTGCAGCAATTCTGACTCCGCCTACGCCTACGGCTGCTACTGCTACGGCTGCTGCTGCTAGTGCTAGTGCCAGTGCTGGTGCTAGTGAAAGTCCTAGTGCTAGTGGTAGTGCTACTGCTATTGCTACTGGTGCTGCTACTGGCGCTGCTACTGCTACTGCTACTGCTGCTGCTGTTGCTGCTGCTGCTGCTACTACTGCCTCTTCTGCTGCTGCTGCTGCTACTGCTTCTGCTTGTGCTACTGCTGCCGCTATTACTACTACTACTACTACTACTACTACTACTACTACTACTACTACTACTCCTACTCCTATACTCCTACTCCTACTCCTACTGCTACTGCTACTGCTACTGCTACTGCTACTGCTACTGCTACTGCTACTGCTACTGCTACTGCTACTGCTACTGCTACTACTGCTACTGCTACTGCTACTGCTACTGCTACTGCTACTGCTATGCTCTGCTGCTGCTCCTGCTCCTGCTCCTGCTCCTGCTCCTGCCCTGCTCTGCTCCTGCTACTGCTACTGCGCTACGTACTACCTACTACTACTACTACTACTGCTACTACTACTGCTACTGCTACTGCTACTGCTACTGCTACTGCTGCTGCTGCTGCTCCTACTGCTACTGCTACTGCTACTGATACTGCTACTGCTACTGCTACTGCTACTGCTACTGCTACTGCTACTGCTACTGCTACTGCTACTGCTACTGCTACTGCTACTGCTACTGCTACTGCTACTGCTACTGCTACTGCTACTGCTACTGCTACTGCTGCTGCTACCGCTGCTACTACCGCTACTACTACTACTACTACTACTACTACTACTACTACTACTACTACTACTACTACTACTACTACTGCTACGACGACAGAATATCCTCATTGTTTCTATTTAGAAGCCAGGGCCTATCAAATGCGCTGCTGCGTGTTGGACTGAGTTGCGCTAGCTTCTACTTAATGCTGTTAGAGTGCAATTTTATACCCACATTGTAGATGGCGTGCGTGCTTGATTTTGAAACTCCTGCCATTGCCATTGCTTTGCTGTGTCCTATGCAAACTTGGGCCCTAATCCTTGACCAGAGGATGGAGATGGTCTATCGCAGTCGACATGCCGATGACTGTTGCATTATTCCAGCTCCTTCGCCCAACAGATCTGCATGCTGTTGAAGTTGATGCATCACGGTTTGAGCTGCTCTGCAGAGGCTATTGTTTATCATGCTGCTGTGTCCCATGCCGGTGGCGATGCCAGTGATAAAGGCACCACTGATTATGATAAAGATGATGACGATGATGGACGACGGGCATGAGGACGGTCAAGCTGTTGTTGGCTCGCAACCCCATGTAAACGCGCAATCGGTTTTTGCGGTGTTCCATGCTGCATGTGCCAAATATGTCCGTGCCGTCGGTGCTCCCGGCGGCCCCAAATTCACGAATTCTGGGCGCGCCGAGACCCTTAGTATTTACGGCATTTCCATTCTTTGCAGCACTTAAACCATCGGAAGTTGCGGCTTTTCCTCCACATCCATGGCCCTACCATGATGATGTCCATGATCCAATACGCTCTGAGAAGAGAGCATCCATGGCCCAACCATGATGACATGCATGGTCCCGACCATGATGACGTCCATGGTCTCATCCGTCCTGAGAAGAGAGACTTCATGCTCCAGCCATGATGACTCGAGCAATACGGTAGTGGTCGTTCTAACGGTTGCAGTCGTCCAGTGGAGTGTCCGCCGAATGCGGACGAAACGCATGTGGAGTTCGTGTTAAAGTATAAAGACGTCGCCGGGGCAGTGACTATGGCAGTTGGTGCTGATGACCATCGACAGTGATGAGTCGGTAACCATGACCACGGTTCTTATCACCACACCATCGTTGACTTTGGCATGGCCGTACAGCAACCTGACCCAAAGTGGGCCAAAAGACCTGCCGTACCAAGAAACAATACGACGCAGCCATACGGTTTAGGGTTTAGGGTTTAGGATCCCCTTAAAACGATCTGTACATCGCGCCGACAGAAGGGTCCTCCTCTATCAGGTCAGACCCCGATTGAAAATGCTTCACGTTATTACTTAGTGCCAGTATAGGTCATGACAGAATAGTATATATTTCGTCATTTGTTACGATACATTTTTAGGATTATTTGGTATAGGGTTTGGACTCCCTACCGGCGAGCTACCTCCAGGAGCTACCGCTGCTTAGCCCGACCTCCTCACTGAAATCTACCGGGTCCAAGAGGACCTCATAGAGCACCTGGCTTCGTAAACTCCTTAAAGTTGGAAACCGGATTAAGGCCAAATAGTGCTGGGATTCCCTATATATTACTCTCAAGGGTTGAGGCTATCGGGTTTCCAACTTTTGGGCTTCTACTGTAGGCGGTTTAGCGCTTCGGGGCTTGGGGGGGTGTAGTGTGGGTGTTTAGGGTATCTGTTTTACGGTGCACGCTGTAGATTTTGGGGCGTAGCCTTTAAGGGACTCGGGAATGCTGCGAGCTTCCAGCGGATCGAGGCTGCCTGTCAGAACGATTCGGGTACAGTAGAAGCCAGAAAGTTGGAATATCATTATCGTAACCCCTTTAAGGTAAGTTATGGGGGATCCTACCATGAATCCATATTCCAACTTTCTGGAGTTCCCTTTAGGGGAGTTGTCCTTTGATGTGTTGAAAAAACTGTTTCTGCAGTATGTGCTTTGTCTTTGAAGGCTCAAGCTGAGAATGCTTCTAAGCTTCTCTGGCTTCTCCACACCACAAGGTTCGACGCATGAACATGCATGAGAAGCATTTCGGGAGAAAGTGCTTCGCAACACCCAAATCTTGTCTGCGTCATGCTCCCGCGACCGTGCCTGCCCTACAATTTCAACAATTTCAACCCTAAGCCTGTGCCGTATTGAAGATCCCAATCCTCACCTAGCTCCCAAGTGTCCGGAAATAGGCCAGAAACGCTCATTCCTGACAGCAGTATTCTATCGAATCGTGCCCTAGTTTCCCGTTACTACAGAACAGCTGTAAGGCCTCCTCTAGAGCTACCTCGCAAGCTCGCATCAGACCCAGTGGGCTGGGCAGTCCTGACTCCCTTATTTCGACCCAACTACATATATAGTTATACATACATAAACAAACAGATAGCAAAACAAAGAATGTGTACACACATGTATGCCTGTATGCATGCATTTATGAATGTATGCATGTATGTACAGATTATATATATATATACACATGTGGGATGGCTCAGGGTAAAGAATCCCGGCCAAGTACAGTGTTGGCTCAGTAGTTTGAGGTTCGCAGTCACAACGTTTTTGGACCATGGCCTGAGGTCGTGCGAAGCAGCCCAAAACAGGGGGCACTTCGCAAGGCAGCATTTCAAAATTGCAGCCGGACCGACGCCCACAAACCTTAGAAATCCTCAGCGGGAAATGTTGGGCCCTGAACTGCAAAGAATCTCCACCAGTTCATCGTGGATAAATTAACGCTTCGAAACCTCAGATTTCGGGGAGTCTCCGGGCTTTCGGGTAGAAAGGGCCGCAAGCACTTCAAGCGACAGGGCTGAACCTCCAAATCCCGAATCCCGAAAGCCCACATCTCGACATGGTATCCGAAAGCTGCAAGCTGCCCAAACCATGTGTAAGAATAAGAAAAGATAGAGGAACATGTACCTTTCTGTAATTAACAATAACAGTACTTACCAATGTATAGGCCTTATAATCATGCAGTGTGTTATTTAACAATACTAATAGTAATATCAAGAACAACAAGAATCATAATAGTGCTAATCAAATGAAGAACAAGAAGACAAATAGCAACAACAACAACAACAACAACAACAACAACAACAACAACAACAACCACGACCACGATTCAAGCAGTACTGATTTTCGAATCACGGCTCATAGAAATTTGGTACTAATATTAATCGTAACGACTATAACAACACACAGCACTTCAATTTCAAATACAACACAACATAAACAAATAAATGCATAGTTATACACACATATATATATATACATACATACCCGAATAACCAGGTACATCAACAAGCAAAAACCTCTAGTAGTATGTAACCATAAATACTGATATATCCAACAGTATACAACACCATTCAACAGTAAAGCATGCATATACCATCTATAACAACACACCACACTAAATCTGAACAGGTCGACAAAGATTTGAGATGCCAAGTAATATCATCCAGAAGCAGAGTGTAAGACTACACAGTACTCAGACCCCCAAACCCTAAACCCCAAACCCTAATCGGCCCTAATCCGTACTCAGACCCCTCACCCCGCCGAATGCCTTGTCAGGAAGTCCTTTGCCCGCCAAAATTCCCCGGAAGTTGGAGTCGCTGACCTAGCCATAGCAGGGTCTAAGGGTTAGGGCTTTGGGATGGGTCCAATATAGGGGCCTTAATAATTAGAACAGGGTTTTGGGGCCCATTATACTAGAGTTACAATAAGGAACCCCCTAAATAACATAGGTAATTGCTAAGGCCTCTGTAGTATGCTATAGGATCTGGGGTTTCGGGTTTACGGTAAACGACGAGTGTTGCTGCTATCTCTATCATCACATGAACTCCCACTATTAAGCTTTTCGCACAGCTTCTTTGAGCAGTCTTATGGGCAGCATTGCTATTCAATTACGGTTACCATGACTCGATTCGATAGATGTGGTGCGTTGGGGATGAGGGTGATGTTCATCATCATCATCATCATCACAACCACCACTATCATCAATCATGATCATCGTTGAATCCCAGCTTCTGAGCCCAACGTCCTAATCTCGCAACCCGGAAGCCCTGCAGCCCTCAAACCCGAACCTGTGAACCCAAACCCCGAACCCTAAGGGTCCATGTACCAAAATAGTATATACATCTGAAAGTAGTTCCTATATATGTACATTGGGGCCAAAGTGTATACTATTTGGGTACATGGATCCTTAGGGGAACGAATGAAAGCCCTAATTTTTGCAGCGGGGCTTGGGTTGCAGGCCTCGACAGAGTTTCGGGTTCCTAGGCTTGGGGTTTAGGGTTTAGGGTTTAGGGGTTTAGGGGTTTAGGGTTTAGGGTTTAGGGTTAATCGGAAACCTTTTGGCTTGAGACTATCGGGCTTTGGGCCGGGGGTTCTGCTTGTGAGACTTTGGGGCTCAGGGTTGATGGCAACCAAAAAACCTTAGGGCTGTGGAAGCCGCGCTTAGGGATCTAGAAGGACGTGGAGTTTCTTATTCGAGGTTTGCGCCTGAACATCTTGCATCGGGAACGGAATCACGCTGAAAGCCGAAACCCAAGGCCCTAGCAGTTACATCCCTTGCCGGCCTCCTCATACAAGGGCCGAGGAAGCGAGCTCTTGACAGCGTCAGGCATTTCCTGGCACCCGGAGATGCTTGAGAAGCTCTGGTACCTGGGCTCAAGCGTAATGTAGGGGGGATTAAGAATTAGAATAGGGTTTGGGAGCGGGGGGGGGGGGGGGGGGGGCGTATATTATGCTATAGTTATAAAAAGGAACCCCTAAAATGCCATAGGTAATTATTATTCTCCTTCTTATCCGCAACCCTTGCGCTCTGCTCGGCTGCACAGTAAGAACCTGGATCAGAACCTCGTTTGGGAGGTCTCAGGGTATAGAGTTTAGGGTTTAGGGTTCTGCTTGTATCCGTGCTGTTGGAGCACATATTCGCATGGGGACATTGGGCCAAGGTCATACATAGAGCATGGCATGGTTGACACGTACTTGGAGGATCATGGGACTTAGTAACTAGGGTTACTGTTAAGGTAACTATACTTAGAACTACTTATAACCCCAATTAAAGGTACTTATAACCATGCTTACTAAGTCCCATGATCCTCCAAGTACTGAACCATAGACTGAACCCACCAACGATAAAGCGCCACATGCCCACCCTACCCACCAAAAACCCAAGGAAATGAAAGTTGAAAATTTCAGAATCGACTACCTTATAAGAACCCCCAAAGTTGAAAAGTTGAGTTTACAGCCAATAGGCCCAATATCTCGACACTGAAGACCCCACCAAGCCAGACTCCAGCACAGCTTCGTCGTTAAGGTTCGGAGATTTGTGAGCGCTCGAAGCTGCTATGACGTGAGATTGTCCCGCGAGAAGCAAACCGCGCCCACCAATCGAAGGAGACGCCCATTTCGTGCCGAGTTCACACCCAACAGCCCTAAACCCTAAACCAACAATCCTCTAAATCCAAAGTGAGCCACACTGGGTTCTTGGTCTCGTTTTGGTTGGAGATCTTGCTTGCGTCCACCTGAAAAAGGACATTCTGAGCAGGCTTGGGCGCACTCGAGAGCCACTCCAATATCCATTATTTTAGGAATAGAGCTAGGGTCCCGTCAAAGGATCTATAGGGGTTCTTTTTAAGGGATCCTTAACCCAAAACCCAACACCCAGTGAATCCATCGTTAGGCGGTGTTGCATTCTCGGGCTGCCTGCAAAGGGTACCGAAGTTCTGCTGCAAAGGATCGACTGGCACTAAGAGGTCTAAGAGTTTTGGCATCAGGGGCACATGTTGAAAATTTGGGATACTGGTTCAAGGATATGTCTCTAAACTCTAAACGCCACACCCTAAACCGCTTAGAGGGTGTAGGCATGAGGATGAGGGATCCTGGGTCTGGGCAGCAGGGAACTCGTGTTTGTGTGCGTGTTGCCGTCACTCCTTCACCCCACGATAAGCCCCGAACGCCCGGTACCCGAATTACAAACTAAAGGCTCAAGGCTTGGGTCCAGCAAAGCCTTTCGGAACCCTTATAGGACCGCTTGAACCAGAAGTATGTACCGGCGCAAGTGCTCAGCAAGTTCCGGGCTTCGGAGGAAAATCCTAATCCTTAAATGCTCAAAGCCATCTTAAACCTTCGCCCAAACCCAGGCCATCCGGTATTGAGAAAACATCAATCGCTATTGATTAGTTCCGGCGCTAGTCATTACCATGAAATCAATAGAACTCGATGGTTCAAGCGTCTGCGAAAATCATTATGAGTACATGTCAATAGGAAGGGCTGTCATTAAACCAATAGACATTCGATTAAACAGCGATAGAATATCATAGGATTTCAATGGCTTGCCAACCCATTCTAAGGGCTTTCCTAGATGTGCAGGGCTTGGGAATTTCCATAGGTTTTCCACCCCAGCAAAATGCAACTGTCTGCTTATCTGCTTAATCCGTTTACACAGATTAGCTCCGAAGCATGTGCACGATTCTCGCTGTTGATTTTGCAGCAAAAGCAATATTTCGATTGATGAAAATCCATATCGGAAGGTGTGTGAAGTGATGTTGCGGGATACTGCTGCGCTGTTGCCATGTTGGCATGCAGCTCTCACAGGCTCCAATGTTGCAACGTAAAAGCCTCATCTTTTCCCCTGAGTCACGGAAACTCCCTACAGTTTTCTAGGGTGTAGCGAGACCCGTCTCGAAAGCAGGCAACAGTAGACCTCTTAAAAGTAGGCCCATGACACAATGCCAACCTTATAATTCAGAACCAACCAGGCCGAAGAGGGCAACCTCCGAAAACACGCCTGCAGGAAGCACGTGGGCAGTGAGGACAACGTCACGCGCACCACCACTTCGGACCCGAGGTACGGTGCCTGATGCAGGAGTTACTGTTTCAGGGCTTTCAAAGTTTCGGCTTTAGAGCTGTTTTGTTTTAAGTTTGGAGCTAAGGGCGAGAGTATTAAACATAGCTTTCTGCGGAGTTCTTGAGTTCTGTCGTGGATAGCTGATCCTTACAAGGCTTCTGACTCAAAGTCCCATCCAGAGACTGTCGAACCCGCCAAACTCAACTTCATCTTGCAAACACCGGTGATCAAAGCAGGTCGTATGTGGGAGTTTCCGAACTAAATAGTAGGATCCCTATTATAAGGACCCCTTAATTTTCGGAAACTCCCATGTATATCCAGAGCTAGTGCACCATGGAGCCCGGGCAAGGCTTCTAACGAGCACATAATGTAAGAACCTGATTAAGAAACCTTGGGTCTTTATTCGGGTTCTATAAGGGTTCCTTTGACGGGTACTATAAGGGTTTTGGGGGGTTTGATGTAGGAACCTGATTAAGAAACCTTGGGCCTTAATTGGGGTTCCTTATATGAATCCTGAATCAGGTTCCTGCATTGATTACCTAATATCCTCCACAAGCCTCAATTAACCAGGCTTAGAAGGCCAAATCGTTGGAAAGCCCAGGGGCCAGAAATGGACGCAGCGTCAACCAAAATGGATATCGGAAATCAAGACACTTGCTGCATCCATTATCAGACGCCACACCCATGTTCCGGCCATTTCCTGTCGGACCTCCCGCGTCTTTTTTCCTCCATTTCCCATAGAAAAACGGGTCGGTTCCTTTTTCATGCAAAACCGGCCATGGCCCTTGTTTCTACCATTTTGCTGAGGATAATGGAGGAAAAATGGATGCGGAGATTCACAAAAAATGACTCAGACATGCCCGCCAGAAAGCATCCATTCCTCATGACTGCTGAAATCCACTGTTGATTTCCTACGGCCATTTTTCATCCACTCTTACAGTTCTCTCATATGTTCTGTTTGCAACATCTGGTCGTCATACGGCCAGGCTTTCCCTCAACTCCATTGCAGCGAGGTGCTCCCGGGTGCTGCTTGCGAAGCTTTTCGTTCTGGACCATGCCCCTTCCCACACAGTCCTGCAGCACGTGCGATGCTATGCAGATCACAGCCACGTTTTAGGGTTGAGGGTTTAGGGCACACCGACTGTTTTCAGCTATTGTCAACACCTGCCCCTAGTCGTGCTCCTAGTCCTCCTCCACCTCCGCATACTACGATGGCCATAATGTAGGAACCTGATTCAGAAACCCAGGGCCTATAACCCCCAAATAATAGGAGCCATATAAGGAACCCTAGTAAAGGCCCAAGGTTTCTAAATCAGGTTCCTACATTACCTGTTCTACGTGCTTCAAGAGACAGAACCCAGAGCCGGATAATCACCAGCATAGGGCCCTTCATGAAAATACGGGTTTTAGGCTTAAGCGCTACAAGATATTGGGGATCCTTGAGGAATACTATTCTACTTTTGCCGACCCCCATGTTGCAACAACATCAGCCTCGGCGTTTGTTCGGTAACAAGTTGCCAAAGTCTGGTCTGAGAAAAGGATCAACACACAAACATCAGTGCCGGCGGAAGGCACGTGGGCAGAACGAATGTACATTGACTGGAAAGTCGACCACTCACTGCGGAATTGAACTCTTCTGAACCACGCTGAAGACAACGTGGTTATTTGTCTGGTCTCTGCTGCTTCAAGGTTGGCTCGGACGTTCCGGAAACTACAGGCCAGCTCCGAAAGTGGAATTAAGAAAATAGGTTTAGGGTTTAGGGTTAAGTGGAATTAAGAGAACAGCAAGAAACACGGCTATGTCGGGTGCTCTCCTGATAAACTCTAGGACCCAGGAGACTTCGGCCGCATATTTCTTCAGGCCAGTCTTTGCTTTTAGAGTTGGGGCTTATACAACCTATATAAGATAAGGGCCTTAATAGTTAGAACAGGGTATTGGGGCCCGTTATACTGTAATGTTCATCATGCACCCCCAAACAGTATATTTAATTATGAAGACACCTAATATATTAGAGGCGGCTGAAGTCCTGGAAGGATTCCGGCAGCGAGGGGTGCTTTTCAGGGACGTCCACGGGAAGGTCGTGCATCACCTCCAAGGAATGAGTTTTCGGGTTTAGGGGTTACAGTAGAAGCCAGAAAGTTGGAATATCATTATCCTAAACCCTTTATAGTAAATTATAAGGTATCCTACCCTGAAACCATATTCCGACTTTCTGGAGTTTTCTTTAAGGGTTTAGGAACTTGCAACGGCTCTCACACCCCCTCACGTAGGTGACCTCCACTAGGCACCGGCAGACTTCAGGGCCTCAATGTCAATAATAATACTATAATAATAATACTATAAAAATAATATATAATAATAATACTACAATAATAATACTATAATAATAATACTAACCAAACTCTTAGTGGGAAACGAAGAGAAAACTGATACAAAAACTGCAGGCCACTGAAAGGTGTTCGACAGGAGCTTGCAGCTTAAGGGCTGGTCTTCAAACTGTCGCCTTCCATAAGTAATGGAGGTAGCGGTTCAGAGTTTCGTGATCACATTTGCAAAAACACACGACACCAGGCCACAACAACCCAACCACATGCGCAAACAATTGCAAGGACGACATCGAGGACATGCTAGCAATGATAGCAATGCCCCGAACTGAGAACGCGACATCAACAACAGCATGGCAGTTGCACGGACCGGTTGACACATGCAAAACTGACAACGCAGTACTCACGCTGAACATCAACAAAATCTTACTGTGCCGGTTTATCCTTCCCCGCGGCAGAATCCCTCAAGATCCCAATGCCCTGATGCACTGTCTCAGGGATACAAATTCGAAACGTATGAAAGATAAACGCGGAGGCTGAGCTGGGCTCCAACGCCCTCAAAAGGGAGTTTCCGAAAATTAGGGGTACCTTGTTTGAGGGTCCTTATAATAAGGATCCTACTATATTTGAGGTAATTACTATATGAGGTCCCATATTTTCGGAAACTCCCATATGTAGGCCTCTAAACCCTCAAACCCCGACCCTCGCACCTTCCGCGTGCCGCAGGTGAAGACGGCCCGGAAGCCCGTGAGGTCCGAAGACCGCACCCCCTCATCCGTTCGAGCGTCCAAGGTCCTGCACTAGTCGTGGCTACTTTCTTCCCGGGTCGTTGACTGTACAGGGATTTTGCCGCTGCCGCTCTAGCTGCGAGCTGGCTGCAGCTAGCTGTAGTAGTTGCAGTTGCAGTGTTGTAGTTCTGGTGGTACTGGTTTTCTGGTGGTGGTACTGGCGCTGGTGCTGTGTGGCGTTGTTGGTGGAGGGCGGTGGTTGTGTGCTTGCTGCCATTCCGGCGAGGAGCCGTCATCTTCTTGTTTCTTTTCCTCATGCCATGTGACATGTGCACAGTGTCATAATTTAGGTACTGCCCCCATGCAGTAAGAGTCTATAATAGGGCTACTATTAAGGTCCTAATATATCTATATTATGAATATTATTCAACTATTACTGAGTGGGGGCCGTACCCAAGTCATAATTCCCAAACCACAATCATCGGGTGCTGGGCTCTGGAGGCCTCGGGACTTTGCGGACATGGGATTCGGGTCGAGTTCCTGGAGATGTACCGTATTGCTCTGCCCAAACTACGTAGCCACTCGAAACAAGTATGCCCAAGATTCTGATATACATACATCTATATATATACATCTATCTATATATATATATATATATATATATATATATATTCTGATCAAACAACAAAACATGCTAAAATGCAACAAAGACCAACAGGAATGGCAGCATTAACTCTTGAACATCCCACTGCACCGGTCCCGGCCAGGCTTTGCATCAAGGGGTTCTTCCTCAGCGGCACAGGGATGCCAAAGGCTTCGGAAACCAAAAGTCCTCAAAAGTCTGAAACCGACAGTTGGAATTTCGAACCCTTAGCCTTGAACCCGAATCCCGTGAACCTTAAACCATACCCTTGCAGCTTTAACCACTACATGCCTGATCAACTAGCTAGCCTAGAGAATCAGAGCTAGGCTTTGATTGGCGGAGGCTATCCGGCCTGGGTGGTGTGTGTGTGCCTTAGGGGCGGCCCTGTGGGTGGTAATTTGGTTTCGGGGGCAAAGGCGGCGGGCTAGGACCTTGATACCCCGACGCATAGGACCACTGTGTTCACCACAAAGGCCTAAACCGTCTCAGTCCTAGAGAGTTCTTGGCTTAGCTTAGCATTGGCAACTTGAAGCCTATCTCTGGGATAGAAGAACTCCCCTGAGAAGTTTTGAACCTTATCAACACCACACCAACCATCACCTCAGGCGACAACAACAACCGGAAAACACAACAAAAAAACACAAACCAACAAGCAAACACCATCAACACACAACAACCAAACCGATGCCACTACCACCACCGTTACTGCTACCACTACTACTGCTACTACTACTGCTGCTGCTGCTCCTGCTCCTACTCCGATTCCTACTGGGTCACGACGACGACGACTACTACTACTGCCAGTACCACTGCTACTGCCACCACCACCACCACTAGCACCACCACCACCGCGACGACGACTACTACTACTGCGGCCACTGCCACTGCTACTGCCTACTAAGCCTGCTCAGCCTACTGCTGATGCTTTTGCCCGCAACTTCTATTGCTCTGCCACTAGTGCTGCTGCCAGGGTTAGGGATAGTGCTAGTGCCACTCGTGCTCCTGCTCCTGCTGCTGCTCCTGCTACTGCTACTAATCTCTGCCATTACTCCTACCACCACTACTCTTGCTCCAGCTACTAAGATCACGGCCGCAACGACATGCTGTGCAACCACTAGTACTGCCTGCTCAACTGTTCCAACTTTTCCTTTTCCAAAAAGTAGATCTATCAATGGGGGTCCTATAAAGTACCCTTAGTAGTATCGGGCCCCAAATTAGGGCATCTACTTTCCAGATCCTCCCGGGGGTCTGGGTTTTCCTCGTTCCGAGGTTCGTCGCGATCCAGGGACCTGGTGTTTGTGCACCGAGGCTAGTAGAGCGGACGAGCGCGTGGGCTTCCACCCAAGCTGCCTTCCGGATTCGGATTTTAGGGTTTTAGTGTAATTGTGGCCTAAATAAACCGAAGACGATAGGGTTGGGAGTTGATAGTGCTACGGATAATCGTGTGAAAGTGCTTTCTCCATCGTGGGAGGAACCCTGGGAAGGGGGTGCCCAGGGCGGGCTTGTTGGTTGCAGTTTGTGGAGTTGTACAATGACACCACTGGTGAAATCTAGATTGGGGATAAGTTTTACGATGAGGTTACATACATAGTGAAAACAGTAATTCGGAGAGTCAAGGGGGCTTGGGAGATAACATCGTGAATTGGCGAAGAGGGCTTATAGGGACGCCTTGCGTTCCAAAGCTGGAAGTGGTGGAGCAGCTGTGGCTGCTTATGGCTTGCCAAAGCATCTCTTGAGCCTGTGGGTTGGAGTACGAAGACTGTTTCAGCAAAGATGGCAATTCGTCTCAGAGAGCTCGATAAGTTCATTCAGAACAACAGTAGCCTGCAGCAACAGAACCCGACCGTCCGCCGTGATTGATAAAGCATTCGGGTTGCTGTCACCACCCTAGAGCCGTAAACGCTCGCATTCGAGTACGAATGTAACAATTGCTGTGCGCTTCAGCCTCAGGCGCAGCTCACGACGCCAAAGATCCTAATGATGATTCGTATGACTAACTGTGAAACTTACAACGCTAACGCATAATACTGACAGTGATCAAGATAATAGTAAACATAAAACAACAATAACACATCAAACGACACCATCAAGTAGCAACAACGATAAAGGTACATGATGATGTTAGTAGCAAAGGCTACTAGTACGAATACAAGCACAATAATTGCGGTAGTCATGGTACATAGGCATCATGCAGAAAACAACATTTTACGGGCCCCACATGTTCGACACTCCCTCCGAAATTACTTCGTAATCCTAGGCCCTCTGCTCCGGCTTGTGAATAGCAACATCGCCAAGCTTGAAGAAATGCAAACGGTCAGCTACATACCTGTAGGCATAGTAGTCGAATTGATCGGAACCGTAAAACTGTCATGTTGGCCTCAATGCCCAAGCGACAACATGTCAAACCAAAAGCGACTGGTGGTCTGAGGTCCGATAAGCCCTACCTTAACCCTGAAGGACCTACCTTGTTAAGGACTTATATAAGGAAATCATAGTAAGGAGCCCTAAAAATGTAGGTTATTCAGGGTTAAGGTATTCTCGACACCCCAAACCCAAACCCTCGAAATCGCCAAAGTCTTTGCCCACCTCCACCCCAAACAAGAGGCAGCCTGCACCCCAGACATCTTCAGCACGGCTAGGCCCATCAGCTCGACGATGAAGCCACTGTGCCGTCCGACCTCGGGTTAGTTTGGTTGCTTAGGCTCGGCCCCTCAACCCGAAACCTTAAACCCTAAACCATAAAACCAAACCCTTGTCAACACACCTTGTAAATCCCATAAACCCCTGTTACTATACCCTCAACCCCAAACCTCAAACCCTACAGTAAATCTTCAAACCTAAATCCTAAACACCGCGGACAGTTCCATACGTGACACCCTGATCAAATCTTGCGGACCTTGCAAGACCTAGCTACCCAATCCAGCCTTTCTTTTACGCAGCTGGGGTTTCGGGTCGAGGAGCTGCATTCGATGTGACTTTCTAGAAGACTCAAGCGTTTACGACATCGAGGGTTTAGACCAATAATTTCAGGTTGGGCTTGGGATTTACTGCAAGGAAGGAGTCTTCTCAACTAAGCTTCAGACACTTGGGGCCTCTGCCGGAAAGGGGTTGAGTGTAAAGGAGGCCTGAAGCAACAGTATAATTAGTCAAGGTAATATAGTTCCCGAAATAGTAGGATCCTTATGATATAAGGACCCCAACATAAGGTACCCTAGCTGTCGGAAACTCCCAAATCAGCGGCCGTAAGGTCATGATACCCTATCACGACTGTAGTTTTGCTTGTGGCCTGCAGCGTCGGCTTCGGGCCTGGAGGACGACTTGAGATGTCAGGGAGTCCAGTTGAGATCTGGGGTACATGCAGGGACGCTACGCCACACACCCTGCGGGTAGCTTTCGAGAGAAGAGACATTTCTGGAACCCTAAACCCTGAACCCTAAAGTTTTGGATGCAGTGGATAATGCATGAACCTGATTCAGAAACCTTGGACCTTTATTGGATTTTTTATATGAATCCTACTATTTTGGTGTTATAGGCCCAGGGTTTCTGAATCAGGTTCCTACATCACTTTTCTCGATTGGGGAGGTTGATGTTAAGGATCCGTCGATGGGGGAATAGGGCGCTTCGTCTTAATCGTCTAGTCGGCTCACGGCCTTAAGAACTAGAATAGGGCTCCTTGAAAGGGATCTTTCATGGGCCACCACAAGGGATCTATATAGCAGGGTTCCATAAAACAAGGGCCTGAATAATTACAATAATTGGGGCTCAGTAAATTATTTTTACAATCAGGAGCCACCAAAATAATATTGGTAATTATTTCGCCCCCGATATCATCAATAGCAGTTTGGGCCAAGTTGCATTGCTTGTTCCATACTTTCGGAAGGCTTTTCTCGCTAGTTGCAGAGCATTCTCCGCAGTAGCATACTTTAACGTGAACTCCGTCTCGGCATCCATCGTCTTGCAGGGCGTGACGGCAGCATATCGATCGTACCTGGTTGAAGTTGCAAAGCCCTGAGGGTCCATGTACCCAAATAGTATATACTTGGGGACTACGTTACGGCCAATGTATATACTATTTGGGTACATGGACCCTTAGGGAGCAATCAACCAGGAATCATACCGAAGGCGTTGAATAACGTAAAAACCCTTCGGAACGAATGTGCACTGGGCATCTCTGAACCCAAACTTAACCTTCAACTCCACCCTAAACCACCGCCTCTTCTTGTTCTTCGAGTCCGCCCCCGTCTTGTCCAAGAGCTTCTGAAAGGAGATGCTGTGGACCAACTCCGCAGCTTCTTGCGAAGCAAAGGTTCGCTTCCGCAACTTGTCATAGCGACTGGAGGCTTTGCCAAACCACTCGTTCCTCAAGCTTTCAATACATATATATATATATATATATATAGTTATGTATAGTTGTATATGTATATATATATGTATATATATATATCTATATCTATATCTATATCTATATCTATATATATATATATATATATATATATATATATAAATACACACATATACTATCCCCCGATTCTTCGACCCTTAGGGAGTGGTGGGCCTAAGGCTTCGGGGAGTATGAAGATCAACCAGCCGAAGTTTTGAAGACCGCAAGGAAAGCCCCAAAGCCCAAACCCTCATGCCTATAACCATATTGAAAGTTAGTAATACTGTAATATAATACGAAATGCATGACATAGATACACACTTATGACATGTAAATATATGTGTGTATATATATATATATAGAGATATAAATATAAATATATATAAATATAAATATGAATATGAATATACATATAAATTAGGTGTGTGTGTATATATATATATATATATTTGCATAATTACTCATGCACACCCGATCAAGGAGTCACCAATGACTCCTAGGCTCGAGGTCTGCTTCGCCCAGGCCTGTACGCCCTTTCCCTGGTGGTAGATCCACTCAGACAGGCGATGCCCCACCGCGTGGTTCACCACCGGCGCTTCCTCGGGGAGGCTTTTGCTCTTCTTGGCTCCTTGGAGTTTTCTTCGATTCGAGCCGTGGGTCTTTGGGATTGTTTTTTGTTTAAGGTTTCGGACACGAGGTGCAAGCCTGCGGCTGAGGATTCAGAGCCGAGGTGGCAAGAAATAGTCTTTCACACGGCTCACTGCCCTCACTGCTTTGCCGATCTAATTCCTGTCAGACGCCCTGAACAAAGAGCGATATAGAAGGCCCTTAAAATCGAAATCATGGGCCAGACTTGGCATTCGGCCTATGCCGTCCAAGTTCGTAGTTCGAAACACACAAGCTTCTTCACGAACTTCGGAACAGCAACTCGAACACCATTCATTCCTCCCAACTCATCAACAGTAATGTAGGAACCTGATTACCTTGGGCCTTTATTCGGGCTCCTTATATGAATCCTACTACTTTGGGGTTATGAAAACAGGGTTTCTTAATCAGGTTCCTACAGTGCTCTCAAACGTCCTCATCTCCCCGCCCTTGTCTGCAAGATGGAGGCGCCAGAGCACGCGAGGCCAGGGGGACGAGAGACAGAGGACTTTCTGAAGAGAAATACATGGGGAGTTTCCGGAAATTCGGTGTACTTCATTTTGGGATCCTTATAATAAGAATCCTACTATTTAGGGTACTATATGAAATAGGGTCCCCCGATTTCGGAAACTCCCACATGAAAATCACAAGAGCATCACAACGCAGGCAGTTTCCCTGGGAGGCGCATCACGACGACGTCCATGTCGTGGCACAAATTGGCAACCCCACCGCTGGGAGGCTCCACACACGGGACAATATGTTGGAAGACCTTTTCGAACCCAACAGACATGGAATCCGACATCCCCCAACAAGAGATTGCAGCGTTGATTCTCCTCGGCACGATCGTGATATTAGTCACAGGCACTTCAGGAATATTCAGTCTAAGACGACTGATCTAAAGCAACAACTGTAAATTCTTGAAACAACAATCCCACTGACCAGTCATCATCCCTCGATCCTCCGTCACGCCCGCGGCATGCAAGGCCTGGGCCGTCATCTGTACCGTTCCACGGCCCATCCGTCCCACGGCATCCACGATGCCATTCCTGGTTGGATTCGCTTGACGAGACGGAGAACTGTATGAATACAAACAGATGTGTGACCCGAAGCATACAAGGGCCGTTAATAAGAGCGTTTGTTCGACGCTATGTCCGCAACAACCTTTCTCTCTACCACGAGTTTCCTCTGATTTCAACTAGAGGGATGCTTTATTAATTAGTGCGTCTCAACGGATGAATTTGTGCGTCTCCACGGTACTCCCAGCCGGACAAAATTGGATATGATTTCTGCATTCAGCTTTTCAAACTACTTACCCTAGACTCCAAACAAACTACTTACCCTAGACTCCAAACCGTTAAAGCACTAAACAGCCTAAATCCTTTGATCACAGGGGCATGGAAGTCTGCGCATAGTGCACCTCAGGATCCCTGCACCAGCGTGGCGTCGCTGTGGCCTCTTCCTGTCACGGCGTTCCACGGGCTTGGTTTACTTCGGGGCCTCTCAAGCTCAAGGTTTGGATTCTAAAACCCTAAACCCTGAACCCTAAACCCTGAACCCTGAGCCCTAAACCCTGAACCCTAAACACTGAACCCTAAACCCCTAAACTCTGAACTCTGCAACCCTTGAACCCTGAAGAATCGCCGGACCTGACGATGATGCTTGACCAGGGAGGATCCAAAACGTAGATCCCTTCATGTACTTTCTAGATCCACCCGGGGGTCTGGGAAGACGATGCTATTACCCTAAACAGCTGGCATACTTGATCCTTCTTCAGAACATATTGAAGCCCTAGAATAAAATTGGGGTTTAGGGTTGATGGAGCAGCTGCTCCCCAATTGCCATGAGTCCCAGATTCATTGAGTGGCGTGCAAAAAGGCTTAGAGACAAAAAAGCTGGACAATGCTTAAGCCCTTCTCCTCAAGCCATAAACTACCCAAAGGCCCCAAAGTAGTTCCTTTTTGGGGTTCTTATTTAAAATTCTATAAGGTAATCCCAGAAAGGAACTACTATGGCATGGGGACTATGGGCAGGGAAGACCCCCCGCTGCATCTTGGGGTCAAGACCTTAGGCCAAAGGTTTCTCAGTTCTAAGGTACTTTAAGCTACCAAACCCTACCTGTTTGTAGGTTCTTAGTATAAACCCTAATATGGAATTTATAGGGACCCTACTTTTTTGCAGGTTTTGGCAGGTTGAGGTAGGTAGGATTGCAACAGTGCCTGAGTGATCGAACACCAACAAGACCAGCGGTATTTGGTGTGCTTGTGGTCATAATCCTGCCGTGAATGAAAGTAGAAGCTGAAGGTCGCGACGATTCAAGACATAACCGCGGCAACATGATTACCCCGAAAAATGGGACCCAAGGCGACGATCGACAAGCAGGAATACTGCCAGAAATCACAATGAATGGATAGCCCACCTAATGAGACGTCAAGTACCCTCAACCCCAAACACACACATGCTGATATAGGGGCCTGAATAATTAGGAAGAGGGTTTGGGGGCCCACTATACCAAGAATGAGGAACCACCACAATAGCACAACTGGTAATTATTAGGGCCCCAATAATAGTCGTACTTAACAGCTCCTCGGTACAGCCGAGGCCGACGGTGACGAAGGTCCGCCAAGTGTGGAACGTCGTGTCCTGGCGCAGATGGCCCTATCGCAGTTAGTTTACGTTTAGGGTTTTGGGTTTATGGAGCCCTTAACCATAAACGGCCCTAAACCCTAAACTCGTCACCCTAAGCCCTAAAGCCCTAAAGCCCTAAACCCTAAACCCCTAAACCCCTAAAACCCCAAGTCCGGAACAATTTGAGGGGAGGGGGGTTGAGAGTGCCGGGCTTGGAGGCTTGGAGCTCAAGGCTGCTAGGTGTTCTCAGCTTCGTGCCTATGGTTAGGGTTTAGGGTTTAGGATTTAGGGTCGACATGAACAGAACTATGTCTGGATGCCAATGCGCTACTGGGAATTTTTCAGCAACAACAAACGCCGTGAGGCTCCAGCCGAGGGGCCCCTGGCTCTGCCTATAACGGTTTGGGGTTTTGGGGCTTTAGGGTTTTAGGGTTCTAGGGTTTAGGATTCAGGGTTTAGGGTTTAGGGTTAACCAACATCTCTATTATAGGGTCCTAACCATAAAATTGGATAACCAGAAAAGGAACTACAATGGAGACTTTAGGTAGAGATGGAAGTATTCGGTCTTCGAAGCCTTGAACCTCCAAAGCTAATATAGGGGCCTTAACAATTAGAATAGGGTTCCCTTTAAAGTGGTCTGTAAGGGTTGCTATAAGGGATCTATAGCAGATTTCTATAATATAGGGCCTTGCCTTGATAATTAGAATAGGGTTTTCGGGGCCCATTATACCATAAGTACAATAAAGAACCACCACAAAGGCACCAGAACAAAACCTACACCCGAAAACTGCCGTCTGTTTGCAGGCTCTCCCCTGAACGACCCCGAAGTGCCCAAAGCTCTTTCACCCCGGAAGCCCAAACCCTACATGAACCGTAGGTCCTTAGGTGGATCAAGACAGGGGATGTTGATAGCCATTACAACTGCAGGCCTTCAGGGGCTGTAGGAATCCAGGACACATAGGTAGTTCTGCAAACGTTGGTCCCGGTGTATCCCCCCAAAGAGTAAAGTAAGCCCGTGTCCTGGCGACTGACCATGTCAAGGATATGCACAGCCTGGTAATCTTGTGCCGGCGGGTTCTCCACAAGATCCTTGCTTCGTGCGAGCATCCCTAAACCTAATTTAGGGGCCTTAATAGTTTCCTATACTATTCTGGGGGCCCATATTATGGTTATACGTAGTATAATGGGCCACAAAAACCCTACTTCCATTATGAAGGCCCCTATATTAGCCCTAGATGTTTTGCCTGACCTGGAACCTTCCGGCTCATGGTTGGTACCGATATCGACGGGCATTCGCCAGGGAAATTCCCAGGAGGTCGCTTAGAGGGAGATCGCTTCAACAAGTCATGTTCGGAAATTAGAGCCCTGCAGAACTCTCCTGGTTGCATCATCCCAACAACACAAAGCATGCAATGCTGTTGTGCATAAGACGCTTCCTAAACTCCCTAAACCGTATGTTTTGGGGCTCTATGGGCCCTAAGCTCCAAGAATCAAACTGTTGGCGCTGAGGCCGGCGGCCACGGTAGTACCAGGAAGCCTGCAGGCGCGGCTTGGAGTCTAGCTTTGACTTGGGCTTCCAGGAAGTCGCATAAAAAGATGTAAGTGGCAGGTTAGACCCCAGGCTTTCGGGATGCTTTAGGCTTTCACCTTGGGGGGCCTACATTCAGGGCAGTTCAGGGTTTGATATAGACTCAAAAACTCTGAGGCTGGAAGGCTTTGGGGTCGAAAGGAGCAAAGGCGACTGACAACGAAACATGAATACTTGGACACATTGGATGCCTTGTCCATCTGCCAGGCATTCATGCGCAAGGGACAGAGGCCCTTCTTCTTCTTGAAGATTTCGAGCTGCTGCTTTGCTGGTAGGAAGGGCCGAACTGGGCAAATGAAATCAGTATTGTTGTAGGGCTCCGGCATGTCTTGCTGCATGATTGCCAGGTTGCAAGCCATTGTCCGCGGCAGATCTGATATGCCTCCTGGAGTGCAGTCTTCACCGGGCAAGAGGTCTTTCTTGCCTGTCCACTTGCTGTACGCGATTTGGGCGTAGTAGCGTGCCGTGTCATCTTCGGTCCCTAGCGCAGCATCAAGTTTCTCCAAATCCGCTGTTCCAGTGGTGTTCTTGATGGGGCAGACCACCCACTTGACCACAGAACTCCCAAGTAGCTGCCCCAAGCGGGTGTACTGACCACTCAGAGCTGAGAAGCTCTTGGCGATCGAATCCCACATGCCACGGAGAAGGCTGCTTCCAAGTGAAGAAGCATGCAGCTCCTTCCTGGGTTCTTGTCAAGAGCTTAGTTTCAACTACCATACAGCCGACATTTTGTCACGACAATGCTTGTGGCTTGTGATGTAGCATTACCCCATAAAAACGCAATGCCCAAGCATTTTATGGCATCATAAACCCTAAACCCTACATAAACGCAATTCCCCAAACTCGAGACCCAGCTTCCCATCCCAGTCATCATCTGGTGCCATCTCCTCTAGTTCATGGTTGGGATAGGATTAAAAATCAAACTTTTATTCCTTATTGGGTCTAAGTACCCATAAAAATGTAAAATGTTACCCAACTATGACAAAGTCCTCTGTGAGCAAGGCCGGGAGTGCGTCGAACAAGCGCTCATTCCTTGTGCGAAAACTTGTCGCATGGTCCATGGTCCGACATCCAGGGTTTGGCATGGTTCTACAAAGGTTCTATAAGGGCTGTATAATGTTTCGAGTTCTTAACTTACGACACAAGATCTTGTGCCGTAAGTTAAATTTGCAGGGTTTGAGGCTCTCTCGGCAACTCTCTTCCCTTCAGAGTTAGTCGACCACCAAGGCAAACATGCTAGCCACGAAGGCACCCGTGCCTGGCTGACTTGTCGATGACCAAAACCGTAGCTACAAGGACAACCGCAAGGAGGTAAAGCTTTCAAAGCATGCAGACAAACTTCATGTTGGAGATCAGCTCCATGATCTTCAGCTTCCTTGGCAAGGGTTCGAGCCGGAATGTTAAACCCTGCGTATTCAATCGCAAGTTTCGACCATCGACACTGCTGGAGCCCCAATACAAAAACCAGCGCCTGTCCAACACGCAAATTTCATGTGTTTTAGGGTTTACGCTAAGGTGTTGGTATCGATTTGGCCACAAATTACTCTATCCGACCATAACTACTTATTATCACAAGGCCTGAACCTGAACCCCACAAAGCTCGACCTAAACTACCAGGACCGACCTTCTGTGGGCTCCTATGAAGTCTACGATATACCCATCTAAGAGTACACTCAAAGTTCGTAAACCAACCCGAAACCCCTGACCCTGAGAATTTCTGAACTACCCTAAAACCCTGAACCCTAAGCCATTAAACCCTGAAAGTCTACCTGAATCCTGAACCCTTGAACCATTGAACCCCAAAGAGGAGCAGAGGTGCATCGTCAGCTCCATGCTAGCTAGCTGGCACGTAGGCGGCCGCCAAAGCCTCAGTTCTCCCCACTCCCCTTTCCATACCTTTGGTTAGTAGGGAATGGAGGAATGGGGTACAACTATAACTACTCTTACTACCATTCTTCCATTCCCTTACTAACCAAAGCTAAGTTTCAACGGTTTGGGGTTTAGGGCTTCGGGGCAAAATGCGTACCTACGGTTTAGGGTTCACGGCTTAGGCTTTTTCGGGCTTCAGGTAAGGGGTAGCTTAGGAGCGGAAGATTCAGAGGCTCAGCTTCGGGATTCCGAGCATTCTGCTTACAAATCCACCCCACGAAAACCCAAAACCCCTAAACTCTATACCCCTGAACCCTATACGAAGGGAACCTAGGAACTTGACAATCCGGTCCAGCATTCGGCTCGCGGTGGTGAGGTCCCAAAACCTCGCAGAGGGTTGAGTGCTTGCTGCTAGGGCGGTTCAGGGTGGTTTGGGGATTTCGAGAATGACAATCTTGGGCCGGAAAGCCGTATAGGGTTTAGGGTTTAGGGATTCTGCTATCGAGCTTTGGAGCTGCCTGCACTGGTCGAAGTGCTTCTGAGTGTTGGACATAGAGGGGTCAAACATCCTCCGAACTACATTGACATAGCTCCCTATTTCGTCCCAGCGAGCCATGGTTTGCATGAGACCTCTGTAAAGAGTACTTCTGGGGTTTCTGGTAGCATGTGCGCAGCCCATTCGAATCTTGGCAGCTGATGCGCCGCGGAATCCCATCCACCCCTGGCCACCTAGCAACTCCCCAGCTCCCGCGAACTGCCACCCGATGTCGATGTCGAGATATCGGAGTCTGAAAGACATGGAACCCTTACGTATCCAACCTGAAAACCTCTAACATCTCCAGGGAAACCTCACAAATTAAATCCCTGAGCCGAAGCCGTAAACCCTAAACCCTAAACTCTGAACCCTAAACTCTAAACCCTAAACCCCAAAAAGAAACCCTAAACTCTAAAGCCTAAACCCCAAAAAGAAAAGAAGTCCAGGAGGCCCATGGCAGCCGATGGCATTCTGGTCCGTGAGCAAGTGGGTTCCACCCTCACGTCGATGTAGCTGTGAAGCAACTCCTCACAACAGGCTTTAACATAGGGGCCGTAAAAACTACCTGAAAATAGTATAGGTAGCTAATAAGCCCGAAAAGCCTCTACGCGTCAGTCAGCCTGCGCAATTGTGCTGCAAGATTTGGGACGAAAAACAACTAAACTCACGGTGCATTTCGACAGAATACCTGCAGCTTGAAATGACTGTTTACTTGAAACCAGTGGTGCAATCAACATCGTGATCCTATCCAGCAACAAACTGCTTCGGCAGATGCCAGAAGTCGAGTTAAGATGCACAGAACTCGAGAAGAAAGCTCTCAAAAGCCGAGAGTCGCTTGCCAAAGCACATGAGAATCTGCTCCTGCAAGCAAATCTGATGGAGGGTTTAGGGTTTAGGGTTAATTCTGGAGCTGTGGCTTGAAAAGGCTTCCGGCAGCAACCCTCAATGCCCTGGCACTTGAAGAAAAGCGCTTTCGGGGTGCGCTTGATGTGGGCATCGAACTCCAAAAACAGAAGCGATTGCTTTGCCATCGGCGACCCAGACCTCCAGAAGGATGTGCAAAGTGATCCCCTAATTTGGGGCCCTATAATTACTAAGGGTATTTTATAGGAACCCCATTAAGGGATCTACTTTTTGGATCCTCCCGAGGGTCTGGGGAAGCCACTTCCTGAGGACTTGCCTCGTGGGTCTTCTCAATGCCGAACATTTACATCAACCCTTCATGGATACTATCCACTCATATCAATGCAAGCAGCATCTCATTGAACACAGCATAGCGGATTCAGCATGTACTCCGGTGATGCCATACTCATTGTCAAACCATGAGGCCTGGAAACATCGCCCGAGTACTTTACCACAAAAGTATAGCCTGCACACCACGCGAAAACATCGTGTCAACATTTCCCCACGTCCTCGCTGACAGTAAGAAGAAGAGGGGAGAGAAGAGAGCACTATCACTATCACCGTCATACCCTCTTAGAGAATCATGTAAAAATCTTCTCTAAACAACCCGGTTCGAGATACCCAGGCAAACTCTGGAATTCGAATCTTCAGCTCCTTGCCCTTGGGCGCGAACTTGGCTGCATTGACATCCGGGGACATGAAGCTCGTGAAGGGCATAGCGTGATGCCAGTTCCTCTTTTGTCTTGGGGTTTCGGGCTTGGGGATTAGCATGGCATGATGGCAGTTCCTCGCTTAGTTGTGGGTTCAGGTTCAGGATTTAGCATGAATCCGGCTTAGGGTTTCGCATAGTATGATATCAGCTTCTCTTCTTGTCGTGGGTGGGATGCCCATCTTTTGGATGCTTTGGGATCCGAATGGAAGGCCGAACAACGTTTAGGTTCGTAAACCCTGCCAGCTACTAGCAGCATTACAAGGTTGACCTGCAACGGCACGGTTTATCCACAACATGTGTTTGGTAGGTGTATGCCTGCGCATATCATAACTGTATGTATACAGACATCTATCCGTGTGTATTACCATTTCAGCTGTATCGCACCACAGCCATCAAGTTCATGTTTTCATTCTCGTGTACTGTCTCACAACAGATACATGCTAACTAACGTGCAAACAAGCACGTAGAGAGAACAAACAAGGAAAGGCATGAAATCACAAAAAGAATAAGTCGCAATGATGTGCTGACCATCGAGAACAAGTGCAACTTTCAGCATCGGGAAGAACAGTCCTGATATCCGGAGTGAGAACAGCAATGTGGTATACGACCGAACACATTAAAAGAAAGGGGCGACGAGCCATGATACTAAAACCGTTGATACTATTCATACCACCATTAATACTCTTATCACCGTTAATACTATGAGTACCTTACGGCTCTAAACCCTAAACCCTATTAAAGCCGACTCTCCCTGAAGTCTATGACATCTGGGCGTCTGCAGCTTCGAGAGCCACCACTTCGCAGAGGGGCAGTGGGAGAGCACCAGGTCCCTCGGCAAGCTGGGCTTAGGGTTTGGGGTTTAGGGTACCGGGCTTCGGGTTTCGGGTTTAGGATATAGAGCTTAGGGCTTAGGGTTTAGGGTATAGGTCTGAGGGTTTGGGGTGAGGGTGTGTTGCTGCCTTCTTTCAGAGAGGACATGTTCAGAGTGTAGGGTAGCGGAGTTCAGGAAGGGATGTAACCTACGCTGCTCTCCTCTATCTTTAGATCGATGCCCTAGTTGTCCCAACGCCGCAACTAATGGCATCGTATGATACCACTCTAGTCTTTCAGGCTTCGAATGCTTCCTGTCTCGCAGCGCATGGGTTAGAATGTTTGGCAAGACTTCACATCAGCGACAGTGTCGCAGTGTCATCAGGGGAGCTACTTCAACGCCTGGTTCACTTCAAGGGCAGTCGAGCTGCGCCGTGGCCGTGTGCACACTGACGTCCAGCGGGGCGTCGGTGTCAGGGCAAGCTGCTGTTCGGTTCCTCTGGCAACAGGCGTGGTCTTGATTAGCACTTCGCGCTTCAAATGTTTGCGCTACCTGCCTGAGCGGAGATGGGGGTGCTGACGGGGTCGACTACGTATCCAGTGGAAGCTGAGACGCAAACTTGGCTTTGAGGGGATAATGCTACAAGAAGAGACAGTAGCAGGAAAATGAACGTGACGCCTTCTTCTAAATAAGATGGATGTGACAGTTCTGCAAGAACGAAAGTTCATGATCATCACAATATTTCAAAAAGAAGCAACAATCACGATGAGAACTACGAAGAAGAAGAGCGACATCGGTCGAGACAGGCTCTAAATCGACTCAATTCAAGGGTCCATGGCTCCGCGACTCTATCACCTTGTCGAATCAGCTCAACACTAAGCGGACCTTAAGTGGAACATTGCTGATCCTTTCTGTGGTTATGGGAGCTTGTGGCTTGGTGCGCATCTCCTCTTCATTAGATCCTTGCTTGTCCGAAGCCCACAGCAGGCCCCCTGAACTCCACCACCTGATCCCAAAACGCGAAAGAATCTGTGCCAGAGTGCTGAAAGCTGTCCTTTGGGGACGAGAGGTTCCAGCATGAACGTCAGAAGCTATGATAACAGAATGACCCCCGTCTGACGCATACCCGAAAGCCGGGCAGGTGGAAGACCCGATCATTCCGAAAATCATGCCACACACGAGGGTGGAGTAGATGCAGCTGCAGACTGCAGGTTCATCATAGTTCGAAGCCGTGGTGCTTGACGTAGTCGAGGTCAAAGAGCTTGGCTCCATCCTCAACTTCAAAGCCGTCGCCTGCCGGCATGCTCGGACTTGGATAAGCGCCAAAAGCTTGCCCTTGAAGCCCAGAAATCAGAAGGATTGAACCCTACAACATCAATCGTTAACGTAGGAACCTGATTAAGAAACCCTGGCCTTGTGGCCCCAATATGTTAGAATTCATATAAGGAACCCTTATAAAGACCAAAGAATTTCCTAATTAGCTTCCTACATCAAACCCCCCAAAACCCCTATAGTACCCTTTAAAGGAACCCTTATAGAACCCTAATAAAGACCCCAATGTTTCCTAATCAGCTTCCGACATTCACCCCAATTGTGTTCCAGGCAATTTGGGCCTCCTCAGCCCAAACATGGCTTCGGCGCTTCGGCCCCAAAATGCAACGCGCCCGTGCCCCGTAACTCCCTATACTCCCTACTATAAAACCCTAAACCCTAAACCCTGAACCCTAAACCCTATAGACCCTGGCAGTAGTGAGCCCTGAAATCCTAGCAACCTTCAGCCCAAACACCCCCCCAAGCCCTGTAAGCAGTTTCATTGATGGTTTGCGCGGTTTTTGTTGCCCCCAACCCCTAGTCTGGCCCCAAACCCAAAGCCCTACCCCCTGAACTCCCTGAAAACGCGGAGCTCTCTATCGCCCGCCTGTAACATCAGAAATCCTTCTCAAGTCTGCGAAGCCCGAAAGCCAAACGCAAAAAACGGGTCCCTCAAACATAAACCCTAAACACCAAGCCCGAAACCCAATCAAATCATAAACTGACTAGAGCCCAAACCCCAAATGCGAATTCCTAGACCCTAACTATGGCCCAAACCCCCAAACCCCATTCGCCAAATCCCGAACCCTCCTATTCCCCAAGCCCCTTTCCTCCGATTTCATGGCTGTTTAGGGCTTAGGGGTTAGAAACCCTAAACCCTATGCGCCTTGCATCTCCGTGAGGCGATTTGCTACAGCTCCGTTGGCCTCGCCTTTGTACCTTCGGATGCAGGTCTAGGGTACATAGGGTTTGGGGTTTACGGATTGATTTAGGGTTTAGGGGTTTAGGGCTTAGGGTTTATTTATAGGGGTTTATAGGGGTTTAGGGTTTGGGGTTTGGTGTTTACGGACTAGGGTCTAGGCTTTGGGTATAGAGGGTTTGGGGTTAAACCGGTTTAGGGATTAGGGTCCAGGGCTTAGAGTTTGGGTGTTGAGATTAGGCTTCTACTAAGTTCTAGAGTCTATGGTTCGTCGATTGTGTGCTTGAGGATGTAGGGTGACTTCAGGTAAGGATTCCACACTACTCCTCTGTGCTGCCTGTGAACCTTCAGCTGTGCCGTCCAATTCCCAAACTTTAAACCCCAAACTCTGCTAAACTCCTAAATGCTGCACCCCAAACTCTTGTAAACCCCGCAAAACTCTCAAATTCCCTATTCCTTCTTCCAGGCACCATTCCACAAACTGCAACCCCCCCAAAACTCCCAAACCTATTCCTTGCTCCAGGCACCACTCCACCAAAGCTTCCATCTGAGCTTCGAAAGCCTGGAAACTCGTTTGATCCAGGCCGACTTCCTCGAAGACCTGCCGCGGATGGAGCGTTTGTGGATGTTAGCAGTTAGGGCTATACAAGGATTCGGGCTTCAGGGCCAAAAAGGGGTTCATATGAGGTTCATGTAAGTTCTTATGTCATTATTACGGAAGCGTTCTTGAGGCCATGTATAATTCCCCAACCTCAGCACCCCAGAACTTAGCACCTTCATGCATCCCTGAAACTTACAAGTCGCAACATCACGTGGTCCAGGTTTAATGCTTTGTTTTTACGTGCTCAAGCTTCCTGAAACCCTCAAACCCATACCACAAGACCCAACCCCCAAAACGCAGACCCTGACATAAACCTAAACCCTACACCCCAACACCCATAAAGCTCTAAACTCAAAACATGAAACCAGCAACACCAAACGCTAAGACCTAAACCCCCAAAGTGCGTGTATATACGGGCCATTTCTTTTGGAACCCCACAACTCTACCCCAAGGGTCCATGTACTCATATAGCATATACATTGGCCTTAATGTAGTCCCTATATAGGTACTTTGGGGCTCATGTATCTCTATATGGATACATGGACCCTTAGGGGTATGACACCCGAGAAGCCCCTCAAGACACTAAACGAAGCCCTTTGCTCTCCCATGGGGCTTCGGGACGTGTTCCTGAAACCCTTGTTTAGGGCCTGATAAATTAGAGTAGGGTTTGGGGGCCCATTATGCTATAATTACAACAAGGAGCCCCCAAAATAGTATAAGGCCTTGAAGTTGGAGCTGCATCGCAAGGGCAGAAAGTGCCTGTCCTTGTACCTTGGTGTTGGGTGTGTTGCTTTTGCTTTTGGATTTGGGGTGTAGGGTCGTGGTCTAGACCACTTGGAAGTTTGAAGGAACAAGCATGAACGGAAACAGGAACTTCTTGCCAATTTACATACCCTAAACCCTAAACCCTAAATTCTAAACCCTAATCTTGGGGGGCTTGCTGTGACTTGTAGCGAGTCAGGGAGTCGAGGGATGTGGTCCGTTTAAAGGGATCCATAAGGGTTCCTATAAGGGGTTTAGGGTTTGAGGGGTTTTGGGACAGGGGATCCATTGAAGGCTTGCGGGTCGCGGCAACTTGACAGAGCAAATAAGCACGATGCAAAACGGGACTGAGGCACGGAAACGTAACCGGAAATCATGGCAGCCAGAGCACCCCTATGAAGCCCCTTTTAAGCCCTGATACGACCATAAAAAAGACCCGAAACACGAGCTGCGCTTTAAAAAAACCTGCATAGCGACGATATGCATGCCAAAGCTGCAGAGCAGAGGGCTCCTTCTTGGGCAGCTGCCCGGTGGAAATCTCGCCCTCCATTATCCGCGTGAAGGTGCTGGTAGGAGCCCATCTGACGGTCAGTGGTTGGCTGCTTGGTTTACTCGGACAATGTCTGCATGCCTGCAAGAATATGTATGTATAAATACATATATGTGTCTATGTATGTATGCTGTATGCATGTGTATGCCGGTCTGCCTCTGCCTCTGCCTGCCCGGCTGTCTGCCTGCATGCATGCATGCATAGATGCATGCATGGATGCATAGATGGCTGGCTGGCTGGCTGGCTAGCTGGCTGGATGCATGGATGCATGGATGCATGGATGCATGGGTGCATGGATGCATGGATGCATGGTTGCATGGATGGATGGATGGATGGATGGATGGATGGATGGTTGATGTATGTCCGTGCATGAATGCATGCATGCAGGCGAAGTAACTATGCAAGTATGTACGTATGTCTGTACGTATGCACACTATTTTTAGACTGCGATGTATGTGTGTGAGTATGTACGCATGTATGTATGTATGTATGGATGGATGTACACGTTTGCGTGCTTCCGTTATGTATAAACAAACAACATATAAATGCCTATGTCTATGTCTGCACGCAAGTGTGCATGGTATGCATGTGTAGATGTATGCCTTGGTACATGCATGGATCTATGCATGTATGTGTGTGTTCATGCCTGCATGCATGCATGCATGCATGTGTGCGTGTATGTATGTATGTATGTATGTATGTATGTATGTATACATAAATACATATATGTATATATAGGTATATACAGATGCATATACATGTATACATGTATATGAAAACAAATACATGTATAAGCACCTGCGTGCATGCATGTGCATCTCTATGTGCCTAAGCAGGTTAGTTTAATGCACAAATATACCAATGATTATTTGCATGTGTATACACACACACACATATATATATATATACATATATATATATATACATATATATATATATAAACTATACACATGTGTGTATGTGTCTGTCCATCTATCTAGCTGTCTATTATCTGCTGTTGCGTACATGCCTACGTACATGCATGCATGCATGCATGCATGCATACATAAGTACGTATTATACATACACACAGAGACACACGCAAACCCCTTGCTCTGGTTCGATTCGTCAGCCGAAAAAGCACCTGCCAGCCTCTTGAACAAACACGTTTAAACAACGAAACGATAAGGTTCCACAGTTCCACCTCCGGACCTCTATGACACCCTTCGTATACCTGTAAGTACGTTTTCTGACCGTATATTGTGGCCTCAGGATGCAAGCGTTCGATGACAGGGCATCCTGGCAAAACTCCTACCCGAAAGTGGAGGATTGCCGATAGGGCAAAGGGAGGGCTTATGTTTCAACATCTTCCTCCCGAAATCCCACCTGGTGCAAACATAGATCGAGAAGATGTCTTTCGCCATAGCATCCTGATCGCTTTGCACGCCCTAATTTATTATTTCGCGAACAACTTACGTTCGCACGACCTCCCCATAGACATCAGAAACCCGAACGAATTGCTGCACAACCGAAGCTCAAGGACACTCAAGCTCCGGAGTCAAGGCTACCTGCGCTTTTAAAGCTTAAGGTGCTGGAACCTGGTGTGGCTACTCTGTGCCAGTGTGTGGGCATGAAGACAGATTGCAGACGTATGACTCGAGTCACATCAATGAGCACGTTGCCAGTAAGGCCCGCGCAATGGAGTTGCGAGAGACCTCATCCACCATCGTCTGGACGATGTTCCGGCGGACAGACGTTGCGGCTGAGTTGGCCTCCTCGTCGTCTACGTCCTTAGGCGCGATCTAGACCAGCATGCAGCTTGATGCATTGTTTCCGGACATGACGAGAGTCTCACAGCTTCACCTCAGAGCTGCTGATTTGGCAGGCATAAATCGACCCGGGCAATTTTTACTGAGCTCCGGGATTATGCCGACAACTGTACACCAAAAAACTCCCGAGTCCAAATAAGCAACTTGAAGCTGGCTGTTCTGCTGTCCGAAATGCCGTTCCCCATTACAGTGAGTTAACAGTCCGGCGGTCGTACTGATGGTTTAAGAGTAGCTGTCTTCCATGAGGGCTCTTTCCAGGAGAGTCATAAGGTATGACCAGCCCTGGAAAACATCAGATCAAACTCCTTAATCGGTGACTAATTAATCCCCTAAGGCTCAAAATGGCCCAAAAGCCTCATATAGTATGGTCTTTGTGCCCAGAAGCCTTAATATATGAGTCCGTAGAGCCTTAGGGATCGCTTGCGACTGCGGTGCATTCTCAACGCCCAGGTCACAGTAGTTCTGGACCTGGTCTGACGTGGGGCTAAGGCTTATAGGCTTGTAGGGGTTTTAAAGCTGACGGCTTGTTGGCGGCCGTATGATTTGAGGCCTTTCGCTCTCAGGTGCTACGACTTTGAAGGCTTTGCAGGAGTCGGGTGAATTTTTGGGTGAATTCAGCAGTGTTTAGACGATTGACTCCACCAAAAGGCAACTCAAAGTTGCACCGTTTGAGGATTAAGTTTAGGGTTTACGGTCCGCAGCTTGGTGTGCACTAGCCTTAATAGAAAAGCTATCAATCTACCTTCATGTGAAGGTTGCGTTGCCGTACGCATAGCTCCTTCCACGCAGATTCTATGCACGATCGTTATAAAGAGCGGAAATGACACAGGAACTCTAGGGGGTGACCTGCCTCCTTTCCACTCAGCCACTGACCCCAAAACCAAAACCCGTGTCAGCCTGCGGGCATCTCGTCACGTATCTACCGAAAGTCGTCAGAGACTCCGAAAAGCGGAAAATAACCTGCAGACCATTTCATTTCAACCAGTTCTTTCAGGCACACGGGAAGACTGCGCCTTGAGCCCCACAACCCTATGGGTCCCAGATAAAACTTACCGCTGCTAAACCCTAAACCCGAAAAACTCTATTCGGGTCTGGCTGCAGTGTGCGAGGCCTGTCCTGGCTTCATCTGCGATGCATCTGGCATCGGTGCCTGCACCGTAGAGGTCGGAATATGCTGAATCTCAGAAAGTTGGAACATTGATTTAGGATGATCCGTGCTAGGATTCCCTCTACTTTACCTTGAGGGCATGAGGATAATGATGTTCCAACTACATGGCTTCTACTGTGGTTAATCAGGAACATTGCTAGCTTACTATAGTCCCTACAACCACCGCGCCCTCGTCTTTTGCGCTGGGGTCCTAGACTCGAAGAATCGACAAGCAACAAATCTTGCACTTACAGGGGGCACGAAGCCAACTCACCTGGGGGGCCTGAATAGACAGCTTGATTGGGAGGATAGTATACTGTCCCGTTACAATACGCAGTAACAAGGAATAGTTTCAGTACCCCGGGCACTATCGCAGGCCAGAATAGGCGCAAAATCGAAAAGCCCGTCATAAGCGTCGTAAGCCCATGGTTTAGGGTTGCGGGTTTGGGGCTAAGCCCATCAGCTCCCAAAACCAAACACTTACACTTACACACGCACACACACACAGAGACACACATACATACACACACACACACAAACAAACACACACACACACACACACGCGCGCGCTCAAACCTGAGAGCCCTAAAACTTTTCAGTCTTAGGCATATTACAATATACCTTGGAAGCCTAGACTTGCTGTACATTTATCTATATCATGGAAACCCGAAAAACCAATTCCAAACATCAGACAGCTAAACCCTGCAATTGTTGAACTGTGCCAGCCCCGCCTCGTCTTGTCGCGGCCGCGGAGGTACAAACGGAGTTTCGGGCCTCTTCGTGCAGAGACCTCGTAGGAGGTTCCGACGGGTCACGTGTTAATGTCCCTCGCACCAACCCTTGCTCTTGTCCATTTCTGGCACTCTCATCAATTTTCGCATTAGATCGACATAGGGGTTGCAAGTTATGTGGGCTCTTGCGCCTGCCCCTGCACATTCTTTCACACAAACGAGCTTTTAAAGCCTTTACAATGGCGGCAGATGAACGAATCACATCTGAAGTCATCAGTCAATAGCACAAGGTTTTGGAAAAAAACCTCATATAGGCACTTCGGGGTCAACATATATAAGATGTGATATTGGTACATATACTCCTGGGGTGGTAAGCTTAGGGTCCAGCTTCTGCTGCAAAAACAGGCCTGTTTCAGTTCAGGGTAGGGGAAGTATCTAAACCGAAAACATGGCTTCGAGAAACGCAGCCCTTCAACTTGCTAGCACATGACATCCTTGGGCATTACTAACAGCTACGAATTCTAGACCCTGCACCCTGAACCCGACTGTACATGAAGTGCGTGACATGAAAAAACGAAAATCCAGAATGGAACTTCAATCTGCCCAACTCAAGTCCTGCAAACCCTCACAGCCTCGTCGCTCAATGTTCTTAGCTCTCAGTAAGGCAGGAAGACACGATCTGTAATGGCCACAGGCTCCTGTCAAGGCAACGCTGATATAAATATGTGTGTATATACATAAATATGTGTGTCTCTAATTACTTATGCATATGCAACACAGGTGTAGTATGGATACCTGCCGTCTCGAGTGGACCCTCCACGAAAGAAGCCTAGGCCTAAGTCTAAGTGTCAGGCTTTTGTCCATTGGCTTCTGGAAGCCTGGACGCAGTGGGTTCTCTATAGGGAAAACTATCCTCGGAGCCATTGTGTTTCCGGGTCGGGCTAGGTCTTCAGGTTTTCGGTTCAGGGTATATACAGCCAGTTTCAGCCAGCGTCTCGTAGCCTGGCTATGCAACAAGCATTCTCTCACTCTCTCTCCGCAGTGGCCTGGCTATGCGGTTGTGCACTTCCTGGAATAACAAAGGATTGAGTAACTGGTACGGCTTTGATACTGTGGTCTTTGTTTTGAGTCCTCAAGCGCAACAAAGACCGAACACTGTCAGACAAATTCTTGGCAGAACATGTGAGCGTGGTTTTGCCAAAGCCCAGGCCCCATGACGGCCGCTTTTGCTTGTTTCGGGGTATACCTATAGTCTCCATTGTAGTTCCTGTTTTCGGTTATCCAATTTTATGGTTAGGACCCTATAATAGAGATTCTGGTTAACCAAAAAAGGAGCTACAATGGAGACTATAGCTACCAGCCAATTTTGGGATGTCGGCGGGCGTTCTGATGTGAGGATGCCGTCAGAAGAAACCTCCGTGGTCCGAAGCTGGCAAGCCTGCTTGCAAGCCCCTACCTTAACCCTGAAGGGCCTACCTTTAAGGACTTATATAAGGAAATCATATTAAGGAACCTTAAAAGGGTAGGTTATTCAGGGTTTATAAGGTAGGTCTCAAGCAACAAGACACCGCAGCAGCTTCAGAGTGTCCTGAACTGAAATTGCAATCTCTTCAACACGCTGCGAGCCCGAGCAGCTGATTCAGCAAACATCGGAAAGCAACTCGACGACTGTAGCTACTAACCCATATAAGCCATAAGCTACAGTTCGTTACCGTCGCTAAAACGGCACCAACATTATCCCTTACATAGGTTGGAGACCGTGAGCACTATAGCAACCTTCCCGGCAAGTAATCCCTGCAAGAGCCCCTTCTAGGGACCTTATAGGAATACTAAAACCCTAAATCCTGCACCCTAAACCCCTGAAGCCCTAAACCCTAAACACCCTAGGCATGAAGGAGTGTGAAGTGTCGAGGGGCTGGAGAAAGCGTGGAGTATGTGTCCGCAACTGCGATCGTTGAACCTCGACATCGACGAGGGTTCTGGCTTCAAAGAGCTTTCTAAAAGCCTAAACCCTTAATGCTCCCTAAACCCTAAACCCTAAACCTTGTTAGTAGGAAGTTCTGTCGAGGGTTCTGCAGAAACTTCTGGGAGGTCTTAGCGTTTCGGATCCTGGGTCTAGTGTTCCAGGAATGGAGACAGACAGACAAAAGGACAGAGAACGAGAGCAAGAGAGAGAGACAGAGAGAGAGAGAGAGAGAGATAGATAGATAGATGGGCAGACACCAGCATAGATAAAGAGATGGGTAGGTGAATGATAAACAGACAGATACATAGACAGAGAGATAGATAAACGGATAGGTAGACAAATAGATAGACAAATAGGCAGACCGCTCGATGGACAGATAGGTCGATTGATCGACAGACAGGTAGATGGGTTACCTGATAGAAGACTATAATTGTAATAAGGAGCCCCCGAAACCCTGTTCTAATTATTAAGGCCCCTATATCATCGTACCCTTGTAGGACTGACTGATTGACCGAAGGATGGCCACATAGGTTCATGCGTACACAGAAACACGGTACATAGGATGCCAAGATACTAGAATGAAACATAGAAAGATTGACAGGTAGATACATACATAGCTAAACGGCAGGTATGTAGATGGATAGGTACATAGATAGAGACTCTGACATAGCGAGCTAGTATATACCCTAAACCCTAAACCCAAAACCCTAAACCCTAAACCAGCTAGTATATATCTAGTACTAAAACCTTCAACCCGAAGCTGGTGCCTTCAGAGCTCTCGGGTGGGTGGGTGGGGGGGGGGGATAATATAAGGGCCTTGATAATTAGGATAGGGTTCGGGGGCCCATTATACCATGATTCTAAACAGGAACCCCCAATAAGTATTGGTAATTATTTTTTGATATAGACATGTTCGACCGCTTTCATGTTGCGATCTGGAGCAGCTAAATGAACTTACAACAAAACCCATGTGGGTAGCTGTCAAAATCAAGGTCCCTTTTTGGGCACCCTGAATAATAGGTGCCGTACTATATTAGAGACCCAAAAAGGGACCATAATATTTGACAACCACTTACGTGACTCTGAAAACACCTGAACACACATCACCGGCATCTGTGGAAATACCCTGTGTCATCCAACATTTCCAAAACATGATCAGTTTTCTGATCTCCAGGAATGAGACACTGATGCACACGAAACCTCGACCTACGCGGTACAAAGAGAACTGCTCTCACAGTTTCAGGGCTCAGTAAGACCCCCACGGGGCGGGGTGGGGGGGGGGGGGTTATGGTACATGTTCAATCCAATGGACAAAGTTTCCGAGGCAAATCACAACAACTCATGAAGCTGAAAAGTTCCAAGGTTGCTGCTTGCAGCAAAGGTCGAGATTGGGGTTGTAAACCGTGACCTCCGCTTGCCAAAGCACACAAAGGCTCTGGCTCCGTATCGCATTTCTGCTGAGGGCTTAGAGCTAAGGGAAGGCCTTGAGCACCATTTGAGCGACCTTGGAGACGAAAGACTGAGTATCAAATCTACTACAACTCAACAACACTAACGGTGGGTTAGGTCTTCACAGACTATAGTGAAGGACATTCCACTTCTGGCAAGCGGTGCCGCCCAGGAATGCATGTTGCACCGTGCCCTGTTTTGTGTTTTTGCCTCTCGGATGTTGGTGTATATTTCAAATCCCAAACCCTGTAAACGCAGCTCCCGGAAGCTACCTTGAAGCCCCCAAAGCTACCGAATCATGTTGCCAAGGGACAATCCAAGAGACGATGTCGGTATGGGGGTTGCAAGGATCCGGTGGTCTCTTCTATAGGGGCCCTTGCATTGAGGATCTTACCGTTCAGGCTCTACATTTGCTGCCAGCATTTTCTGAAACTCCCATATGGTAGGCCTCAAATGCAGAGCTCGGCCGCAGAAACTGAAAACAAGCAAACATCTTGAGTTTAGAGTCCAGAGTTTAGGGAAAGCGCTACAATAGAAAGGCCTGGGAACTTGGACTAGTTAACCTGCTCAGGAGCTGCACGTTCAGGGTCTCAGGAAAATGGGTGTGGTATGTGAAGAGCTTGGGGAAGAAGCTTGTTCTTGCTAAGAACCCTCCAAGCCTCCGACCTTAAACATCATATATCTCTTCATGCTGCTGACGGTTTTGGTAAGTCTGACTTCCTGTGCCTATGCACCAGTCGCGGAACTGATCATTCCTAAACCCTACTTGGAGGTTCATGGGTAGTTTTCAGCAAGTTGTAAATCCCCTACTAGGAGTTATAACTATAGTTGCCCTAATTATAATCCCACTTAGACTTGTAACTACCCATGAACCTCCAAGTAAACCCTAAACCCTAGACCCTTATAGAATCCTTATAAACCCCTTTAAAGGGACGCTTAAGGGAACCCTTGTAACTACCCATGAACCTCCAAGTAAACCCTAAAGCTGAAGCCAGAGCATTGAATCCGCGACCTTAACCTCAAGGCCCCTCTTCAAGGTTGAACGTAGGGGCCTTAGTGCCTGCATAATATACCTATAGTCTCCATTGTAGTTCCTTTTTTTGGTCAACCAAAATCTCTATTATAGGGTCCTAACCATCAAATTGGATAACCAAAAAAAGGAACTACAAAGGAGACTATAGCTACAGTTATAGGGTTTAGGCTCAGGGGTATATTGCAATGGTATCAGGATAGAAAGCTCAGCGGTATGCTGTAGTATAGGCATAGCGGGGATACTGTAACTCAGTATTCTGACCCCTATACTAGGGCCTAGGGCTCAGGGCTCGGGAATGAACGTTGGTAACTCAACACCTGAGGCTTGTGCTCGAAACCCTGCATATGTATGGCATATGTACATGTAATGTAAAAGCGCAGACATACTTTCGCTGGCAAGTGTCTAGAGAGTTGCTGCGTATTACCTGTAAAGGAACCCCTGGAAGGCACTTTATAGGTCCGTGGATCCGCGGGGCTACTGTTTGCGGGAATGGGAAAAACAGAAGACTCAACTTCTGATAAAGAGGGGCAGCAAACGGCAATATGCAAGCGATAGAGAAGAATCATAAAATAAGTGAGAGAAGGCACGGAGACTGTGCAACTGAACACCGACATGGGTCTGGACCAAGACGCAAAGAAACAGCATAACTGGACTCGTGAGCCGTTTTTTAGCTTC